TTGGTCCAAAATGTGATTTCCCTATATAAACTATAGTAAAGTTTACCCCCTCCCCAGGGGGAAACGTGATACCCAAGGGTCATGAAATTCACAATTTTGGTAGAGCACCTAAGACCCTTCCATCTATGAAGAGTGTTTGATTCTACCATATCTGGGTCTTCAGAAGATTTTTGAAATTTCAGTCAATTCGACCCTTTTTGGCCGACCCAATAGCCCCGGGGGGTCAGTCAGGGCTCATATGTGCATACCATCAAACTGCTACCCAATACTGATAATGCTAACCTAAATTGAATTACTTCCAATGGCAATTAAACAAATGTTGGTCCAAAATGTGATTTACCTATATAAACTATAGTAAAGTTTACCCCCTCCCCAGGGGGAAACGTGAGACACTTTTGGTAAAGCACCTTAAGACCCTTCCATCTATGAAGAGTATTGGATTCTACCATATCTGGGTCTTGAGAAGAAGATTTTTGAAATTTTAGTCAATTTGACCCTTTTTGGCCCCGCCCCTCAGGCCCCTGGGGGCCGGGGACCAAACCTGCAACTGTTTTTGTTGACCATTGGCCATGGAAGGTTTCTGCAAAATTTCATTGAAATTGGTTCGGGGGTTTTGGAGAAGTCGAAATTGTAAATTGTTTACGGACGCACGACGGATGACGACGGACAAAAGGCGATCGCAATAGGTCACTTGAGAATTTGTCTCAGGTGACCTAAAAAAGCAGTAGTTCCAACATAATTTTAATAGCGATTGCATAACATTATAACATGACAGTAAGAAAAAAATATTCCCCGAACAGTTTTGACTTTTATGCAACAATATTTGACCTTATGCCAAATGTAAACATCATAGTTCAAAGACTGGAGGTTAATAAAATGTCAACTCTTCCACAAAAACTCAATGCCAACACCAGAGTGACTACATAAGTGTCCCTATTCTTCATATAGGTGAGTTGAAGTGCCATATTAGTATTTACCCTTGATTAAAACAAAATGAGTGAATAGTTATACAAAATGACTTATACCTGTGCGAAAACATGTTTGCCAACAACTTAATTAACATTAAACAAACTTACCATTGTATCACCAATGTCTTGCCTGTAGCAGCGAAACTGTTCCTTTTCCTCTGTCAAACGCAACATGTGAATTTTATTACCCAGCATCCTAATTTTACAGTCATACCAAGCTAACGCGAAGTCAATAACTTACAAACATTTGGGTTATGATAAGTACAGATAAGTCAGTCTTCAACAACAACAACAACAGAGATCATTGGTTGGAGACGACAGTGCTGTTTATCACTTTCACCACTGTAGACCATAATGGACTCATCCAGAACAATGCATGGTCAAGTCTACTAAAGTTACATAGGGGTGAAAGGGTTATATTAAAGACAAAAAATACCAGTCCTTTGGGTCCAAAAACTAGTTTTAATACTTAATTAAGTCCTTAAAGTCAGGAGCGCATTCAGAACCAAAAATGTTCGCTGGTTTGCAAGAGCACTCTTTAAATCAATGATTTGAAAGTATTTTTTGTGAATGTTCTAAAACATTTTCAGTATTAAACATAGATATACAGTCGAGTTTAAAGGAATATTTATTGGATAAATAAAACAGTACCTTAAATGAAAATGAAGTCAACCACGTTTCTAAAACCTATACAAGTGATGCGATTTTATCAGTACCTGTGGGGAATTTACAATACGTCACATGGCATAGATTCTATTAGTGGGTTACCTGCAGTCCAAGATTCATACTCGTCGTCTGTAGGATATTGCACTTTGACCAACAAAATTTCTATCAGTGAAAAATAAATTGGCTGGAATATAGGTAATAAGAGCTGTTGACGTTCCTTCTCTGCATCCAGTATGTCATCCTGTTGAAATGAAACAACATTACAGACAATATTCAGGCTAACTGTGGGAAATCTTAAAATGTCTGTAAGAAATGAATGCCCCTGTCACTGTTTGAAAAAAATCTGTAAATAATAATGGTGATGCATGTATTGGCCTTGGAACTCTAATATACAAACTCATTCAAGGTATTCTCATACTTTACCTTTGAATAAAGTTCAGATCAAAACCACCTAAAAATGAAGGTTCTTTCGTGTTGTCACTGAATTAGTTGACATTTTTCTATTAATAGTAACAGTGACCTTGGCCTTGACCTTGAAGGTGTGTAATACACATTTATTTAAGGTGTTCTGATACTTGACTGTTGTACTAAGTTTGTAGAGATATTTACCTGTAGTAGGTACCAGAAAGTAAAGGACATATCACTTGTGGTCTCATCCACTGGGAAGTGTCCAGGTAACGAGCAACAAGACTGTCAGGTAAAAAAACATACCATTAAATGTATGCTATTGTCCAGTAATAAATTTGGCATTCCATTTCAAAATCAGCATCACAAATTTTTATTTTATTTGTTTGTCTCTTTTTGAATCCTTTTGTTTCAGATGTTTTTTTACTGACTTTTCTTTCCATTTCTGTTGTAAATGCCAGTAATCCAGTATAGCAATAAAAAGATTGATTAGACATACTAGCACCATCTGTATAAGATTCATCACACTGTTCCTGCGTTCTTGATCATCACATATAGAGCACTCCAGCAGCATTTTGGTGTGGTTTTCTGCCAGGGCTATCACAATCTGGGCAATCCCATTACATACATCCTACAAAGATAATTTGTATGTTTCAAGTTTTAAAACAGAGTCTGAACCAGAAGTTGTGTAATACCAGTACAAATGTTAAACCTGTCTACTCATTAAGAATTATGCTTTACCATGTGCTGTTTGCTTTTGACAGGTTGGCAATATTTCAAAGATTTTATCTGCTACAAAAATAACAAAGGTATTTCAAAGATTCCATCTGCTTCAAAAGTTCAAACTATAAACCATTTATAAACTATAGACTTTTAAAGAAACATAAATCAAATATTCTCGTAGTCATGAAAATTAGATTTAGAACATCTCTATCAGATATGTATGCGAAATAACATTTGAAATGCTCTATAAAATTTAATATAATATGAATAACTGATTTTCCCAAAATTTCTTTTAAACTAAAATTATCTAAGGAAAAGTTAGATTTATTACTATACTTGAACAAATTTTAGCAACGAGAACATCATTCTGGACAAGACTTTTAATTCATTGGCTTCTATTTGTCCTTCTCACTTCCCTTTTCAGCACGTTTTTCAGCCATTCACCACACCTATCCACACCAAATCCCCACTTGATCCTTTCCACCTACTCATGACCTTGCAATGCCAACAACTGCTCACAATACTGACCATATCTGGTGTTTCCACAGCTCTCTGGTGCATGTCCTTCAACTGTAGTACAGAAGGTATCAGCTTTTGAATTGTGTTGGGATATCTGCAAAGAAAATACATTTTCACAAGGAAAATTGCAGAGATAGATATAGTGTATACAAAGGTTTGTACACACATGGGGCCAGATAATCAGGCTGGTTGGTAGAGTGTTCTTGATTGTAGATAGTCTGATTTTAAATCCATGCTAAATGGAATGAAAACTAAGTAAACAGCTGTGAAGACTATATTTTTTTCTCATTAATATAATTAAAAGGTAAAATTGTTCATCTTTATAAGTAATAAAGTGTTTAGATCTGACCATATCTTCCTTGGGTTCATATGACAATAAATGTTGTTTACCTGACCATATCTTCCTGGGGTAATGTGACAATGAATGTTGTTTACCTGACCATATCTTCCTGGGGTAATGTGACAATGAATGGTGTTTACCTGACCATATCTTCCTGGGGTAATGTGACAATGAATGGTGTTTACCTGACCATATCTTCCTGGGGTAATGTGACAATGAATGGTGTTTACCTGACCATATCTTCCTGGGGTAATGTGACAATGAATGGTGTTTACCTGACCATATCTTCCTGGGGTAATGTGACAATGAATGGTGTTTACCTGACCATATCTTCCTGGGGTTATATGACAAGGAATGGTGTTTACCTGACCATATCTTCCTGGGGTAATGTGACAATGAATGTTGTTTACATGACCATATCTTCCTGGGGTTATATGACAAGGAATGGGGTTTACCTGACCATATATTCCTACGTTAATGTGACTAGGAATGTTGTTTACCTGACAATATCTTCCTACGTTAATGTGACTATGAATGTTGTTTAGTTGACCATATCTTCCTGGGGCAATGTGACAATGAATGTTGTTTACATGACCATATCTTCCTAGGGTAATGGGACTATGAATGTTGTTTATCTGACCATATCTTCCTAGGGTAATGTGACTATGAATGTTGTTTACCTGACCATATCTTCCTACGTTAATGTGACAAGGAATGGTGTTTACCTGACCATCTTACAGACTTTTCTAACAGTTCTTCTATAATCTTTAAAGATTAGACACTTACTAAAGAATTGACTGTTGTATCAAATATACCTGTTGGTTTCTAGGTGAGAGAATTGACGGTTGTATCAAACATACCTGTGGTTGGTTGTCTTGGTGAGAGAAGTGACTGTTGTATCAAACATACCTGTGGTTGGTTGTTTTGGAGAGAGAATTGTCTGTTGTATCAAACATACCCGTGGTTGGTTGTTTTGGGGAGAGAATTGACTGTTGTTTCAAACATACCTGTGGTTGGTTGTTTTGGAGAGAGAATTGAATGTTGTATCAAACATACCCGTGGTTGGCTGTTTTGGTGAGAGAATTGAATGTTGTATCAAACATGCCCGTGGTTGGTTGTTTTGGTGAGAGAATTGAATGTTGTATCAAACATACCCGTGGTTGGTTGTTTTGGTGAGAGAATTGACTGTTGTTTCAAACATACCTGTGGTTGGTTGTTTTGGTGAGAGAATTGACTGTTGTTTCAAACATACCTGTGGTTGGTTGTTTTGGGGAGAGAATTGACTGTTGTTTCAAACATACCTGTGGTTGGTTGTTTTGGTGAAAGAATTGACTGTTGTATCAAACATACCTGTGGTTGGTTGTTTTGGTGAAAGAATTGACTGTTGCATCAAACATACCTGTGGTTGGTTGTATTGGTGAGAGAATTGACTGTTGTATCAAACATACCTGTGGTTGGTTGTCTTGGTGAGAGAATTGACTGTTGTATCAAACATACCTGTGGTTGTCAGGATGAGAGAATTGACTGTTGTATCAAACATACCTGTGGTTCGTTGTTTTGGTGAGAGAATGGACTGTTGTATCAAACATACCTGTGGTTGGTTGTTTTGGTGAGAGAATTGACTGTTGTATCAAACATACCTGTGTTTGGTTGTTTTGGTGAAAGAATTGACTGTTGCATCAAACATACCTGTGGTTGGTTGTATTGGCGAAAGAATTGACTGTTGTATCAAACATACCTGTGGTCGGTTGTTTTGGTGAGAGAATTGACTGTTGTATCAAACATTCCTGTGGTTGGTTGTTTTGGTGAGAGAATTGACTGTTGGATCAAACATACCTGTGGTTGGTTGTTTTGGTGAGAGAATTGACTGTTCTATCAAACATACCTGTGGTTGGTTGTTTTGGGGAGAGAATTGACTGTTGTATCAAACATACCTGTGGTTGGTTGTTTTGGTGAGAGAATTGGCTGTTGTATCAAACATACCTGTGGTTGGTTGTTTTGGAGAGAGAATTGACTGTTGTATCAAACATACCTGTGTTTGGTTGTTTTGGTGAAAGAATTGACTGTTGCATCAAACATACCTGTGGTTGGTTGTATTGGCGAAAGAATTGACTGTTGTATCAAACATACCTGTGGTTGTCAGGATGAGGGAATTGACTGTTGTATCAAACATACCTGTGGTTGTCTGGATGAGAGAACACACTGACTAGAGAATCAACTGCTGTATCAAACAGCTGGCTGTTTTGTAATGCCGCAAACACTTGGACAATGACCTGCTGGCTGTCCGTTGGTGACACCCCAAACTCCACCCATGACGAGAAACATTTGAGGGCCTGCTCAAAGATGTCAGTAGGGGAGCTTGGATTCATCAGGCTCTGCAGTAAGGGCAACACTGTACAACAAAACAATATCATACTCAAGTTCCTTCAGATAAGTGTTTTAACAGTCATTTTTTTCTGCATAATTTTCTAGGCTTAATATTACCAATTTATAAGAACTGTTTTTTCAATTGTAAATGGGGTCAAAGGTCATGCATGAAATAGTGCAATACAGAGTTCCTGTGCTATTAACTACCAGGTACAAAATTAGGTTATGATGATATTCATTTTCCCCCATCCTTTAGAGATTTGAAAACATATATCATCTGATGCAGTCCTTTCCAATTTATTACCTGGGTATTACGAAAATAAATTTGAATAAAAACCTTTTCCATATGCAAAATAAAATAAAATTCAAAAATCGAATTTTTGAAATATTTCTTCTTAATTATCATAAAACCGCTCTCACACTTTAACACAAATTATGTGCTTGAAATAACTTCCTAGTAACTTTAAGCATCAGAGTAAGAGCATGATAACAGTTTCCTGATTGGGGGACGAGTTGTCAAAGATTGATCACTATAGCCATACCATGCTGGAGACTGTTTCCCAGCTCTGTTCTCAGAATCCCACGGCGGTATTCAGCAAGGTTGGCACTGAAAAACTGGCAAAAACATCTCTCCTCTCAATCAAGGAAACATTTCATAAAGCAGAAAATTTTCTTTGAGAGAGGAAGTTATTTGCAGTTTGATGTGTCTTGTCCCCTGAACATGTTAATTATATTTTGTTTTCTCTGTAGATATATAATTCTAAGGTCTTGTCACACCCTGCATATACAATTAATTATTTGTTGTTTTCCCTGTACTATACAAAATACGTCAGATGAATCTCTGCTCAGATTTAGAAACATTTCAAATAAAGCAGAACATTTTCTTTTATAAAGAAATTTGATTTTATAAAATGCTTCTACTGGCAACACAAAACCTCTATGAATTCTATCTAAAGTATGATACTGGTAAATGTTTTCAATTTCCATCAAACAGTGGATTTACAATGTACATAAAATATATATCAACAATTTAACAAAAAAATGTTTGGAAATGATTAACATATAGTGTGCCTGTTACTGTAATCAGATACTTAGACATATTCACATGAAAAAATATTATTGGTCAAAACCCAGTATGTTTAATTTATCAGTCTTATGAACTCTAGCAATACATCTGAATTATGCAAATTTGGAAAGTTTCTGCACAAATCATTTATGTTGAAAGAGAATCTGAAAACAAATTTAAATGTATGAACCAACAGCAATGCATTCTCCTTCAATACATTAGTTTTATTAATTTTTCTGTATCTAGTATATCATTTATTCAAAATACATGCCACTTATTTGTTTACACATGCAAACTGCCACCCTGACAAGCATTTATTGAATATGTATGGATTGTAGTAATATCCTGTACCTATAAGTTGTAAACTTTTGGAAAATAAAATGAGATTCTTTTTTTATTTTAGTTTACCACTAATATTTTTTGAAATAAAAAGATGCAATTTTTCTTCATAATACAATCTATCTTATACTGTTGAGATGTACAGTTTGTGTTTTGTCTGCAAAAGTGTTTTACTTGGAAATTCATGAATCTTAAACATTATTTTTACAAAGATGCTTTAGGACTTAAAGTGGAGAATATTGATGCTGTGATTTGAAAGTGCTTAGTAGCCAAACCACATAAGGATGTGGAACAATGCTTATAGGTCTTTTAACTACAGTCAAACAGAAACTTTGTGATGTTTGATCAACGAAATTTGGTCTCACCTCCTCTGGTAGTACTCGCAGGGTCTCCAATAACAGGTGACAACGTTGTAAATTCTGAAACACAAAACATTAAAACCAAAACTTTTAAAAAAACTGCTAAAGAAGTTGAACAATTGATGGTCCACCATAAAAATTATTATCAATTTGATTTCATGATGCATAGCTTTCAGTATTAAGTGTGACGTTTTGACATTTAGTGTGATGCTTGAAATTGTTTACTTACTGTGAGGTTTGGTATATCCTCCTGCTGAAATGTGTCAATCAAGGTCTTCAGAGGGTCGTGCCAGTTACTAGGAGTTGTATGTAGAATCATAGCAGATAACTGTAAAAATATACAAATTAACTTAATCAATGTCCATAATCTATATATCTAACTTGAGGACTCTCTCCTCCTATTACAAACTTTTGGAATCAATTCATTTACTTTTAAACTTTCAGATCAATGCATCTTACTTAGATACTCTCAGGAAAAATTTCAAGCATTTTCTGAAACATTATTTTCAGAAATTATCAATTGATCGAAATCGAGGGAGTGCAAGTGTATTTGATACCAGTATTGTCATGATGCAGTTATCAATATATTCTTTCATTTACATAAGAATGATTTATTATAAGCTAATCAGAATTTCAGAAGTAGGGATTACCTCATTAAGTTTTGTCATTTTCATCTGTCCACTTCAACTGCTAATTGCTATGATACATACATATACTTAGTCACATGAGGCCCAGAAGGCCTGTGTCACTCACCTGGTATTTAAGCAATCATGGCAAAATATTCTCATTAAATATAATACTGAGATTACAAAAATAGTCACCTCTGTGTCAACTATTAGGCTCTTTTAGAAGGGGGCACATCCTCAGTTTATACAAGTGAGAACTAAATAAGTTAAAACAGAACCTAGAACCCACCGCCACACAAAGTCGAGTGAGAACAATTTTTGGACCACTGCCGAAATGTATTATCCTCTCCAGCAGACGGGTCTTCAGCACTTCATACTGGTCTTCTGGTATTTCAAACCTGTGTCGGACACAAGAATTGTCTGTTTTTATATCTCCAAGTTACTCTTCACTTCATACACAGTAAATTTTATAATACTAAAATTATTTTAAATCAAATTAACAAAATTTACCTTTCAATGACTACATCCAAATCAAAGATCTATTTTTAATATTAAAAAAAACACACTTCTAAAATATTTACCTTAAAATAATCATTAATAAATTTAAATTCAATTTCCTTTCAAAAAACCTTTTCATTTTCCAACGTCTTCTCAGGGTTGTAGTAACTTTCAAGAAAAAGAGTTCTGATTACACGTGGACTATCGATAAAAACCAAGACCCGAGTTTTATATTTGTCTTCAAAGAATTGGGATAAATTTCCATGTTAATGTTATACGTTATCCCAACATCAGGGTATTTTTGTTAAGAAATACACTTACCAAAATCTAGATATCTTTACATGCAAGGTGTTGGCACCAAAATATTGCACTTCAGTGTTCTGTGGACAAAACAAAAAAGTTTTAAACTCAATTGTATAGAAATAATACATGTTCAAGCATTAGAAATTGTATGACTGAATCTTTGAGAGTTGGACAAAAGTAACACCTTAGAGATATGTGTAACACAACATTATCATTTATAACAAGAGGCCCAATGGGCCTGCATCGCTCACCTGGTATAAAACTCACACTTGTAACCTTAAAAGTGATCTAAAATGAAGCTACAGGCAAAATATCAGTATTTATGATTAAAATCATTCAAAAGACCCTGTTAATTTTTTTAAAACATTTCATCACTGTGATTAAAAATCGAACAAAGTCATTATGTTGAACACATTGTATAGCCTTTCATTTCAGGATGCAACTTGCAAAGTATAAACATCCTGGGACCCATGGTTATTCATAAGAGGTTGTTTAAAGATTTTAAACAAATTTGACCCCTGTGACCTTGAAAATGGGTGAAGGTCATTCATTTTAACAAACATAGTAGTCCTTGATCCCAGCATATGCTACTGACTAAATATCAACAACCTGAGCCTTTTGGTTATTCAGAACAAGTTGTTGAATGTTTTTCACATATTTGACCCCTGTGACCTTGAATATCATTGAAGGTCATTCATTTGAACAATCTTGATAGCCCTTTACCCCACCATGCTATTGGCCAAATATCATCAACCAGGGCATTTTGGTTATTCAGAAGAAGTTGTTTAAAGTTTTTAACATATTTGACCCCTGAGACCTTGAATATGGGTGAAGGTCATTCGTTTGAACAAACTTTGTAGACCTTTATCTCAGCATGCTTTTAGCCAAATATCATTACCCTGGGCATTTTGGTTATTGAGAAGTTGTTTAAAGAAAAGTTTTTAACATATTTGACCCCTGTGACCTTGAATATGGGTGGGGTCATACATTTAGACAAACTTAGTAGCCCTTGATCCTAGTATGCTACTGGCCAAAAAGCATCACCCTGGGCATTTTGGTTATTCAGAACAAGTTGTTGAATGTTTTTCACATATTTGACCCCTGTGATCTTGAATATAGGTGAAGTTCATTCATTTGAACAATCTTGATAGCCCTTTACCCCAGCATGCTACTGGCCAAATATCATCAACCAGGGCATTTTGGTTATTCAGAAGAAGTTGTTTAAAGTTTTTAACATATTTGACCCCTGTGACCTTGAATATGGGTGAAGGTCATTAATTTTAACAATCTTGATAGCCCTTCATCCCAGTCTGCTTCTGGCCAAATATCGACACCCTGGACATTTTGGTTATTGAGGAGAAGTTGTTTAAAGTTTTTAACATATTTGACCCCTGTGACCTTGAATATGGGTGAAGGTCATTAATTTTAACAATCTTGATAGCCCTTCATCCCAGTCTGCTTCTGGCCAAATATCGACACCCTGGACATTTTGGTTATTGAGGAGAAGTTGTTTAAAGTTTTTAACATATTTGACCCCTGTGACCTTGAATATGGGTGAAGGTCATTAATTTTAACAATCTTGATAGCCCTTCATCCCAGTCTGCTTCTGGCCAAATATCGACACCCTAGGTCTTTTGGTTATTAAGAGGAAGTCGTTTAAAGTAAAATATTGACGCCGGGCGCCGGACGAGCTAAAAACCAATACATGTTTTTTACAAAGGGTGATGTTAAAATTTATATTTGAATAGCAAGAACTATGTAGAATGTATTAAAAAAACAACTTTTCAATTTGAACTTTCACAAAAGAAATCACCAATTGAATGATTTCTGGTATTTGATGATGAACTGTCTGAAATGAATTTTTCTTGGCCTTATGGTACTGTCAAATATCCTTGCATTCTAGCTTCAGAGAGTTTTTAGTTAAAATTGATTTCTCGAAATTTCAAGACATCCTTAATATTCATCATTAAAGAAATTAGAGATATGCAGATTTCATACTTTGTTTCAACTTAACCAAATTCTTTCTCAATAAGAACAAATTAAAATTTGCATATCACCAGAAATAAAACTCAATTTCACAAATGTCTGAAGATATTTCTTGGTGGTAAAATTGTGTACCTTGTCTGTGCTGAGAAGTTCCCAGCAGAAGGACCAGGCATCGGGGGAGATCTGTGCAGCTGTCAACCACTGATGGACTTGGTGATGGAGACAGGCTGTCTGGTAAAACTGGAGTACTGCCTGTAATACAGGGAAAACTCATCAATATGGTGCATACATAACACAACATTATTGTACCCTGATTATATTTAATTTCCATTTGTTAATTTTTTTTCTTCATTTTTGCATGGAGATCCAATGTCCATTTTGTAATTGTGTTCTGGGTCCCCTAGTAAATGGATTCCAGCCGTTAATAACTTGAAAACATTAAAATAGCTGATTACTTAAGTTGATGGTTTATTGTCATCCTTGATATGTATTATAATTTTCAGGTATTTCAACCTGCTGTCATAAATGGAAAATAAACATGAATATATCAAAAAAACAATTGTATCTGAAAGAATTGTTTTATAAGATTGTCAACATAAAAAGTAAAGTGTTATGAATCAAAATTTGTGGTCCATGTGTTATTCTGTCTGTGGTAAATCAGGCGAAAGAAACCCAAAAGTTTTAAGTAAGTATAGCAAAGGTATGCGCCCTACTTAAAAACTGTTCTTTAAGCAAAGGAGTGTGCCCCAACGACCACCAGAACAGATAGATTTGATAGATAGAAAACATGAAAAGGATTTTACTTTTTTTTTCTATTTGAGTAAATCAGTTAATAAAGAATCATATGTATAACTTATACAGATATTATTGTTAAGGTCAGGCACCATGTAAAACAAGAGGCCCAGAGGGCCTGTATCGTTCACCTGGAAATGTTAACAAAATTGAAGTTTAAATAGCCAGATTTTGCTGTACATGTATTACATCGTTAGTCAGGAGTTATATTTATATGCAATTGTACAAAATCCTGTCATTCCTACAAAAAAAGGAATTTGAAGAGTTTGCTATGTTTCCACTATTGGGATAGGCCCCTCTGCCCCAGGGGGGTCAGACCCACCGTTGACACAAAATTAGTTCCCCTTTACACAAGGATGCTTTAGACCAAATATGGACATAATCCTCCTACAGAAGAAAAAGAAGATTTTTAAAGAATTTGCTAAATTACCCCTATTGGGGCCCACCCCTCAGGCCCAACGGGGGTTAGACCCACAATTTATACAAAATCGATTTACCTTCCCAATATGATGCTACTGTTCAAATTTTGGTCAAATTATCTTCATCCCAATAGAAGACAAAAAGTTATTTAAGCTATCCCTCTATATTCCTTATTGGGACCGCCTCTGTGCCCCCAGGGGGTTTGAGGCCCACCGTTTACACAATATTGGTTCCCCTTCACCGAAGGATGCTTCATACCAAATTTGGACAAAATCCTGTCATTCCTACAGCAGAAGAACAATTTTGATGAATTTGCTGTTTTCCCCTACTGGGCCCAGCCCCTCTGCTCCAAGGGGGGCCTCACTCACTGTTTATACAAAATTGGGTCCCTTTTGCCCAAGGATGCTCCAGACCTATTGGGATAAAATCCTTTAATCCCTATGGTAGAAGAAGGATTTTTAAGCTTTTACCTCTATTTCCCCTATTGGGCCCTGTCCCTCTGCCCCCAGGGGGGCCAAACCCACCATATATACAAAATTGTGTCCCCTTGGACCAAGGATGCTCCAGACTAAGTTAGGATAAAATCCCTTAATCCCTATGGTAGAAGAAGGATTTTAAAGGTTTTACCTCTATTTCCCCTATTCCGCTCACCCCTCTGCCCCCAGGGGGGCCACACCCACCGTTTATACAAAATTGAGTCCCCTTTGCCCAAGACTAAATAAGGATAAAATCCAATAATCGCTACGGTAGAAGAAGGATTTTAAAGGTTTTACCTCTATTTCCCCTATTTGGCCCCGCCCCTCTGCCCCCAGGGGGGCCACACCCACTGTTTAAACAAAATTGTGTCTCTTTGCCACAAGGATGCTCCAGACTAAATAAGGATAAAATTCCTTAATTCCTACGGTAGAAGAAGGATTTTGAAGGTTTTACCTCTCTATTTCCCCTATTTGGCCCCGCCCCTCTGCCCCCAGGGGGGCCACACCCACTGTTTATACAAAATTGAGTCCCCTTCGCCTAAGGATGCTCCAGACCAAATTTAGTCAAAATCTCCTTGGCCGTTCAGGACGACGGACGAGGTTAGCTAATAAAACTAAAAACATGTTGATAGCAGACTTTCATTTTTATGCCAGCAAGTGTACCTGTTCGACAGCAGCAGCCTGGAAAGCCATTTTCCGTCAGTTTTTATGCCCGCACTCTACACCATTGTTTGTTACCTGAGGATGAAGAAAAAAGCTAGTATATTTCTGTGTAGCAAAATTAAATTAAATTCTTTCTTTATAAGATGAACAAAATCTTTAATAACAACCTACATTGAATGAAGACTAAATCACATGTATTATATTGCAGATTTATGAAGATCATATTGTAGTACATTAAAAAAATATGTCGGAATTTAAGTATTCCAACCAGTCTTAAGAATTCTGATTAAAAGTTTGACCTTCAGACAAAAAGGGACATAACTCTGTACAAGAGATCCTAGAGGGATCTTTGCGCCCACCACTGTACAATATTTATTAGTTCTTTGTTAGTTCGATCTTTACTCTTCTTTCCTCTAATCTGTTTGATCGAGTCATGTTAACAGTAAATGCACCTTGAGGTAACTTTTGATCTAAACTTAATACTGATGTGTATGAAAGCCAACTTTCAAAGTGAGTTTGTCATTTCACATATTTACTAGTACAGTACTTAAGGAGGCTCCACCCTTTCGCAATTAGCCAGCAGAATTAAATGAAAGTTTCACATAATGGTTATGTCACTATGTAGAGATGATTTTATGAAAATCTAAGCATTCCGATAAACTGGGGATTTTTTTGTAAAAAATACAGAAATATTGATTTTTTGTCAAATTCAACACTTTTACATTTTTTGAGCGTGTTGCATTGTTCAAAACTATAACAACAATAAAGTAATGAAAAGAAACATTGCTAATCAACCCTACAAATATTTTATTCACCATAAAATATCTACAACATGTTACAAAAAGCGTTTTTTATTGAAATTGTATGGATAACAGTTACTAAATACAAGCTAAAAGCAAACAGGACACATAGTTTCATACAAAAAGACTGAAAAATTGAACGAAATGCACACAAAGTCTTTATTATTAATTTATTTTACATTTTACAATAATTTTGATCCTGATGAGAGTTGTCTACCTTGAAAAAAAACGGAACTTTTTGCAGAGGGATATGATTTATGCAATGACACTTATTTTCTTTACTATACCACAAAAAGACGGAAGTAATTTAAATTACTAGATTTAATTGTCAATTTACTGTTCTTTTATGGAACAAAATTACTCTCAATCATGTACACTTTGGACATCATTCCATAGCCTGCTTACGCATGGTATATTAACATGTCAGGTACATATGTAACCATAGGCTATCGCATGGTATGCCGTTATTACGTGCACGCACATGCACTTGCATTTTATAGGGATCTTGATATTTTACAAACCACTTTTTAACAGAGTTATTGTAATAACATTTGTGAACCGATTTATCTGACAGTCGTAGCGACCAAGAGCTTGTGAACTACTGTTAGCATGTGATAAGTACAGGTGAGGTCGGTAAACAAAACACATCAGTCTGCATTCCATGCACCTCATATACGACCTTCTTGGAAGTCGTCTGATCATATGTCAGTGTTTGCCCGTGAGTTAATTAATGTCTTTGTATCATAAGCTTTATTTCTGAAGTACGTGTGATTACACATTTCCAAGTTAAGTCTCGATATCGGGTGTTGACATATCATCGTCACGCACGTGTACTATTGTTTACCCGGTGTTACTATAATTTACACCACGGTAATGGAATGCCCGATACGCAATATGGAAATGACGACACGAAAATACGAAAAGAAAAACATGTGTATTACGAAGGGTGGAAACTCCTTAATGTGAAAGAAATAGAATCGATCATTGCAATATCAGAAAGATCTGTTTAGTTCTTCTTTTAGCCATTTTGTTTTTATGATCAGTCTCAAAATATAACATGCACAACGAGGGATCAAGGGGAACCTACATATCAAATTAGAGAAAGATCCTTCAAGTTATTCCTGAGAAATAGTACTAACAAACCTTGAATGTCAAAAATAGAAGATGGCTGTCGGTAGGCCATTTTGTTTAACTGATCAGTTTGAAAAGTAATCATGAACAATAAAGGATAGTGGTTATTGGGCTCTAAAAAAATTGAAGAACTGGCCCAAATGACATATTGGTGGCCCAAATAATTTTGGGAAGAAATATTTCCACAGCATTTAACACAATGCTTCAGCACATTTATATTACATATGACATGACAATGTTTGTAATATGCAAAACAGAATAAAACATTAAATTTTTAATTCTTCAAACCTAGTTAAAACCTGACATGTTTCCTAAAGAAATACACAAAACTCGCACCTCAAAGAAGACACCCTAGCAGTATTTATAAAGAAAATCTGAAAAAATATATATATAACATTTTCTAAATCACGAACAGTTCGATTCAAATCGAAGTAATGACAACTGAAAAATGTACTGCCCCCAGTTAATGTGGAAGGGACTATAATTTCTTTTATTCCTTAATTTTTCAACAGTCGCCCAAACTATTTTTGTTGGGCCAGTGACTACCTCACTTTTGACAACTTTTGGTCGCACGAGCAAGATTTTAATCGCCATTAGCGAGCAGGCTACCGTTCATTTCAGGCACTGCTGCACAAGAAGGGAACAAGGGGAACCTACATATAAAATTTTAGAAAGATCCGTCCCGTACTTCCCGAGAAATAGTGATAACAAACTTTCACAATCAAAATCCAAGATGGCTGCCTGTCGGCCATGTTGATTATCCGATCAATCTCAAAAGTTGCCCTACACAGCTAGGGACTAAGGGGATACTACATATAAAATTTGAGAAAGATCCCACTGGGAATTCTTGAGAAATAGCGATAACAAACTTTCACTATCAAAATCCAAGACGGCTGCCTGTCGGCCATGTTGTTTATCTGATCAGCCTCTAAAGTTGTCCTGCACAGCTAAGGACCAAGGGGAACCTACATAAAAAGTTTGAGAAAGTTCCCTCTGGTACTTCTTGCGAAATACCGATAACAAGAATTGTAAAAGGACGGACCACGGATGCAGGGTGATTTGAAAAATGTAGGAGAAAATCTGTGGACAAAAAATCAAACACTGAAATGAACAAAGGGCAATAACTTTTGCAAAAATCGTAGAATCAAAATTCTTTTAAGGGAGACACAACTTTATATCATGATTACAATGTATACCACGTTTCAAAGAGATCCATAGCAAAATGTAGGAGGAGATTGCCAGACAAAAATCAAACACTGAAATAAACAAAGGGCAATTACTTTTGGAAAAATTGTCGAATCAAAATTCTTTTAAGGGAGACACAACTTCATATCATGATTATGATGTATACCAGGTTTAAAGAGATTGGTCAAAAAATGTAGGAGGAGATTGCTGGACAAACAAAAGTTTACGCCGGACAGACGGACAACCCCATACCATAATATTCCCGTCAAATTTGCAGGCGTATAAAAATAGCCTCGTCCATCCATTACAATGATTGTTATAATCAGTAATCCAGAGTTTCACTTTACCTCCATATGGGGATATATGATCTCTAAATAGCTCTTGAACCTGAAAATGTCAGTGGCCTGCTCTATTAAGCGGTCAGAATATGGGATTAATGCCTGATTTTACCCTCAATTTTTATGTCTTGCAAAAACACCAAATAATGACATATTTCTCAAAGTCAATATTTTGAAAGTTTCAGTTTGTTTTTTAGCTTTCCAAAAAAATACTGCACAGCAAGATACCAGTCTATGCACATCAAATGCTGCCTGCAGTCAACAGCAATTGGCCCAGTACATATCAGTGATGTTCAGCTTCACTCTTTTTTCTAAATCTTACTTCTTGAAGTCCATGGCTTGTAACAGAAGCTCAATACAGTACCTACCAAATGTATTTTTGTATATTATGGCATACATATAAAAAAAAAAATAACCAGGGCCTTACATTAATTTTTATACATGCCTTATATTGATATTATTTAAAAATATATATACATAATATGAAGCCACCAAAATATTCCTGTAGCATTAGAAATAGTGTAATGTGATTTGGTTTTCAGTTATTGTGATATCAAAAAAGTAGTGGTCGGAGATCACAAACTGTATTGGACTATTGGTTACATTTTGCTGTTCAAATCTGGAAATTGAATTGCATTAGCTTACAGGTATAGTTAAATGTCTACAGTAGTGCTGCTTCATTGAAAAATGTCGGCATTATAATTGCACTGAAAATCATTTGATGTTATGTTCATTTATGCTATATACAGACAGGTCAATCTTAAAGAAGTCCAGTGTTGTTTTTTGTGTGGCTTGGCAAAGTTCTGCCTTAATTTTGCCAGGGTTGTCAGTCTTAACCCCTGAAAATTTGCATATATAACTTGATGAGCAAATTTTAACAGAAAAGGTTACATTTTCTGCCAATTTTGGGTTTTTTAATGCCTCACAAATAGTTTGACAGATTGGATCAAAATTATTTGCTGAAAAAGCAAAGACAGATCACTGGGATTTGTTGCAATTGGTTATAAAGAATGGCAGGTTTACTAGCTTTATGTAGGGGATTTCCGTTTTAGCCCAAACGGTAGAGCAGCTATGATGGAAGGCTTTCATAATTATCAATATAAACTGTCCTTCCTGCATGACAAACAAACGGTAAACCACTATCCAGGAGATCACGTGCACGCACCAAGTGATTGGATATTAATTTCTGGTCACTGACAAAGACTTTAATTGCCTACATTATCTTTTTATGTCTATTAGAATATCCATCAGGAATGTTAACATTTCGGTAACTGTTCCGCATCAACAGAAGAGTCCTAGTCAGTGAATTGCGTTTCAAAATAAATGTGATATTTCACAGCAACAAAATGAACAATCGAAATACGACAACAGCTGTCATGCTGTTTTAATGTGTTCGAAAACAGTGATTTACCACACTGTTCAGTACAAGAATCAATGATCGATGTCATGCCTGGTACAGTGATAGCTGTATTTCTGTAAATACGCAGATGGTTACAATCAAAAGTACACTTTAACCAAAATACAAATTCGAAATCAAGTTCCCATTTGAATTATGTGTTAGCGACGAGGATAAAATAAAGATATTTACAAGACAAGTGTCCAAGAAGCAATCAATCATCTGTAAACAGATCTTGCAGCAAAATTGGCGACCATGATAGATCTCGTTCTCTGTTGAAATCTCGTACAGGTGAGTTTATTCTTTATGAGGTTAACTGTTCCTATTGTGAAATTACCATCATATTAACTTTCACAATTGGTGAATTATGTTTTAATATCAGTTATCATACCTCCATGGCTACCAAAGTCAAGAAATATAACGTATTAATTAACTGCAAATAGTTCCCATGTGATCACCAACGAGAATTCAAAATTGCAAGATGGCTGCCACCTACGGGAAACCGAATGACTATGATAGAATCAAACGAATGATGAATGTGCCTCGTCCGTTACGAAAATATCTGTATTGCCAGATCGTAACTGGATTTTTGTTTATATACTTTTGGTACTCTTTCAATGGAGGTATGCAACGTTGTTTGTACAAAACATTTATTTGTTTGTTTGGGTCGTTGGCAAGTTCCAACATCACCGGTTTGTGTCAACTCGGTCACATTTCTCAAGGGAGGATATATGGACGAGTTGACTTAATATTTGAGCATCCGTTATTGGCTAATTACTGATAAGAAAATTGTGATATTTCAAAAGAAATTTTGTTGCATTCACAGGTGTTGACTATGTAGATAGGGATGTGTTTTTTGTGTCATAATTGTGTCAAATGATATTTAGCACCCTCATCTTGGTCACTGCAAGCACCTGTATTCCGTATGCGTATTTGGAATTTGCCTTCGATATCAGGCCTTTTGGATCAGTTACCATATCTGACTTTCTATTAGAAACTGTATTGCTGAACTAAATGCAGACTCTCTCTAGCAGAAGCTGGTTGTGTGTCTTTGACACTATACCTACAATGCACATCCCTTACATTTACTTAGATGCAAACATGTGAAATTGTTATACTTATATGATTAGCAAAAGACTTGAGACAAAAGTGAGACTGTAAATTATCAGTTAATTGGAAGTTTACACAAATTTAGATATAGGAGTCTGAAGAAGGTATTAAATCTGATATAAGATTACCTATAGGGAGCATCAGCTGTTCATCTAACCCGTTTCACGCGAAGTGTGCTCCTGCCTTGGGGCAGCATTTATCATCCTACTCTTATCTGTCTACCCAGTGTCAACCTCTTTACACTTCTTCATAATGACATCTGATGATAACCAAGATGCCTAAGGTCATTATATTTGACATGTAGCTTAATGAAATGAATGTGAAGTAAGATACCTAGTTGATCAACCAACTTTAAAGATCAGATTAGCAAAATGAGTTTAAATCTCTAATGAAGATTCATAAAATAAAGTGTAACACAATTTTCCTAACAAGGTTCAACAATGTGCAGTGTAATGATAGACTTAGCTATTTACATAAATTTGAACTTGATGATCTTTGAAGGTCAAAAATGTGAAATGAATGACAAATGAACTATACAGGCCCTTGGGGCCTATTGTTCATTATGCAAAGAACTCCCCGTATGTTGTCTTCATAATCAGCATAAGAATGAGAGTTACATCAGAACATGCTTATACTCCTTTCTCAGCCATTTTATTTGTAGTTGCAAGGTATATGAATTCCCCACCAGTAGAGCATTCTCTCAGAGTGCTGTTGATTTTCACAAATGTTTAGGCTAAAATAACCTTGATATTTTTTAGACAATATTTAACTATGAACAATTTGAAAATTATGAAGTACAGTACTGGACTTCTAAGACAATACCTAAACTAATAGCTACACATACAGATGTAATCTAATCACTACCATTGAGTACTATATGTACTATCACTATATCAGGTATGGGAAGCATGGGTTTCTCTGCTGTATTAGTGTTAATACCTGGTCAGCTCTTACACTGATGTTGAGACTATTATTGGGCTAGTCCTCATGGACTTAATTTATATCTACTTGACTGCCATTGGCTAGAAACTGATTAAGCAGGTAGTTGAACTTGATTGGCTGATCTAACAAAGCCTCTTCCTCAGGTTGAGGTGTCTCCATTGAAGACCCAGTGCCCCTTACTTAACCATGCTAAGACAGATTAGAGATAGGTAACTAGACAGTGCCAGACAAAGCTCTTCCCTGGTCAATCTTTATTATTAATTTAATGAGCAAATGAAACTCTGTCCCATCTATATTAGACTAGATTAATACTAATTTTACATAAAAGTAACAGTTCATTGTATAGAGACTTTTTTAAAAAAATATCTAAAACTTGCTTCGATAAAGAAGGAAAACAAATACAATAGTTGGTCTAGTAATCCATAAAATGATTCAATAGTACTTCCCCAACATGTTTGATTTTCACAGTAGCCATACTGCCAGGGATATCCAACTAATCAATTATAATCTGAAGTAATTGATAAAGTAGTATGCCTGTTAGATATTAAAGAATTAAAAGTATGATTTACTTTGCTCATTGAGTTTATTCTTATACATGTATAAAAAATATGTTTTTTGACAGGACTGATCCCTTGGTTCCTTCGACACCACATACCTGTCTTGAAGATGGGACCAGACATCAACACTCTTTACTTCTTTCCTCACACATCAGATGATGGGAGCAAGCTAAAATGGTCTCATGGAGCAAATACCCCTCAACTTCTACAGAAATCACTGCAGAGTAAGAATCCCACAATTGTCCACTGTGTATTTGAAAAGAACAAGGCCATGCAAAAACTAAGAATTATAGTAAATAGGTAGGACTTCGGCAGTGCTTATTTACCACTGTTTTATTGTACATGATAGTATTGTTTTTAAGTTCAAGATATTTTAAGGTACTGAGATGTTGATTTATAGGGTATCAAAAAAAATATTTGACAAAAGTCTACAATATGAAATAAATAAAATGATAAAGTTTGTATGGTTTGCTGTGGAATTGTTTGCAGCTTACGTTGACATGATTGAGGGCGATGTGATGTTGAAGGGTCAGGGGACAGAAACCCAGAGTCTGATTCCAGTGATGGGCCAGCCTCACTCTAAAGACAGCGAAATGCCATTCGAGGATTGGCTTACTACTATAACGCCCACTGGAAAGGGGATCAAGATTGACATCCAAAGTACTGATGCTGTAGAAATTACTCTCCAGACCCTCAAGAAACACAAAGACAAGGTAGGTCACGGATTACGCAGTCTGCTTAGTTGCCTGTCTAGGATAGCTAGGCGGCCCAGACAGTTTCTAGGCAGCCTGAGGCAAAGGGCTGCTGTTTTTAGTGGATTATTCTTTTTTTAAATAAATGAAAGAACAAGAAAAAGCCTATGATTCTTATAACTTAATCTTTTAATAATTAACTTTGTTCACATATCCTGAAATCTAATTGTGTTTTTTATAGATCCGTGTGCCTCTATGGATCCATGCTGACATCTTCAAGGGTCCCTTAGGAAGTGAACCATCTGTGGATGGAACCAGGTTCATCAAGCATGTACAGCGTCTGTTTCCTCAATGTACTTTGTCCCTCGGCTGGACAACGGGCACTCACACTGACCTCAGCCTGGTCAGCTATACTTGGAAGATGGTGATTGCCATGTACCACTTTATACACGAACATGAACTAGAACCACCTCTGGTGTTCACAGTACGAGCTTCAATGATGCACAACTCGGTGCCTCAGATTAAATGGTTGACGGACAACACCAGGTCTTCGCTGTTGGTTTGGAATAGTCCTGGGGACAAAGTCCTTGCAGAGGATTTTATGCATCTAGCCTTCAAATTTCCACCTCACAATTTGTATTTTGACATTCAAGACAAACAAATGGGTGAATATGTGAGAGAAAATAGGCATGTTTCAAAGGACAAAGTAAATCCCTTGGTACTACAGAGAGAAACTGTGATCTTTAAACCAGAGGCATGGGTGAAAATGGGTCTCCATATTGAACAGCACTCCATACTTCCTAGTGAAGAAGCCATTGTTCTCACCACCAAAACTGTGTATATTCTAACCAAAAACAAATATAAACCTCGAAACCTCATCACTCTACACGGACGAGTTCAGTTTTTGAACATAAAGAACAAAGATGTTGTGAATGGAGAAACAGGGCTGAATATCTACATGAGGCCTACAGGTTACTCAGATTTTGAAAATATTGTAGGTATTCGTTGCTTTATTGGTGTAGATGGGCTGTTACAAATTTCAGGAAGCAACTTAAAACGTGTCAAAGACTTCAAACAAACTCACAGGATAACACCAGGTACTTCTAATTGTTTCCGGTTTAGTGTGCAGGACACAGGAAACGAGATAGTAATGCGAGTCAATGTCCGCCACAACTGTGAAACACTGGAGAGCACAATACAAGACGAAGAGGTGCATGCTGAGTTTAAGGTTCCCATCCCAGCCAACATTGGAATAGATCAGCATCCATTTATACTGAAGCTGGAGGACAGCAACAGATATGCTGTGCTAGACGAGCTTCATGTCAAATACAACCAGAAGTAATGTTTTATCAAACGTATTTTGTAGGTATCAATGTAATGATAATAGCGTACATTAATTCTAATGATAAAAGAAAATTGTTTTCAAGATTAATTTTCTCCTTTATCATCCATTGCATACTGGAATAGCATTTAAATTTTCTTTTTTTTTGAAGGTTGTCGGTGCAAATGCTTATTTGATGAATATGCAATTAATACAAGGTTGGAATATTTGTATGTAGCAAATGTTTCATAGACAAGTAGAAGATCTAACTATACTCGAGACCAGAAATGTGTTTTTTTAATGATCATTTATAAGAGGATGCTGGATTGCATTCATTTGTTTTATTTTCATTTATGTCAATTGACTTTGGAAGGTAAGGGGAGGTAATTTATTAACCAACGTTTACATTTTACTGGATATTTGATGAAACATGTAAAAACATAGTACATTTATAGAGAAGGACTCTAAAATTGTGGGGCTGTAACTATTTTCAGAATTACATTAAAGGTGCTGGTCGGGGAAAAAAATACAAAATAAATGGGTCTAAATGCGTTCTCTGGCCTTCCAAAAGTTATACCACGGCAATATGATGGTCGAGTTCTGCTTGCAATGTCTAGTTTTGACCACTGAAATCTCGGGGAAGCCCCGCGTAAATTTAGCGCATATCTATTTATATATGTAACGTGGTTGTTTCGAAAGTGAGGCAGTGAAGATAACAACAATAGCACGCCGTCATGTGCCATGTCGGACTCAACTAGCGGACAAGACAGCAATACTATACATAAATAATTGTTTTCAAAGGTCATGTATGATGCAAGTGCAGTATTCCTACCTTTGTGTTGTTGTTATATATAACAGTATTGATACCTCGTGCCTGTCATGACTTGCATGCAACTTTTTCATTCGCCGCGATGTTTACATTTTGCCTTGTTGATGACGCGCGTTCGGTAAAATTACATCACTGGTCTGGGTCAATTGAGAGTTTTAGACTGTCAGGTGATGATATTATTATATTTTTTACTCTTATGAAGTGAATTTCAGCAAAATTTGAATCGGTAAATTTCATAAGAAGGTATTTTAAACATGTGTATGCCGTTTTAGCAAATATGACATTTTTTCCCCGACCAGCCCCTTTAAACAGAAACTACAGACTTCATTGTGTTTCTACATATGATAGTTAATTCATGATTTCATCATTGATTATTTTCCATTTCGTATTTTGTTAATACCATACACTCAGACTTTGTTATTTTACTTGTTCAGATGTTTCAGATACCTCTTTTCCTGTTAGAAGTTTCTTGTTCCCATGGCAGTTGATTTCCATGTACATGTGTTTCAACTCAGATGTATCAAATACATTTTACTGCATTTATCTTGTATATTTTCACAGTTGTGTACATATGTGCAAAAATAAATTCACTTAGCGTTGACTTCAAGATTATTAGGTCTGTATTATAACTTGAGGGGTATTCAAGAAATTAGATTTATGAAGGTTCCGGGGGCAGGGAGTCACTTACCTTGAAACTCCCGCATCCACCATACAAATATACATGGTAAGTTATTTGAAACTCCATCACCCTAGGAAACGAGTTGTACGTACCTCCCTGCTCCTCTGCCAGTTTGCTCTGCTGTAGCTCGTAGCTCTACAGAAAATTTGATGTCAACTCCTTCAGGGGAGTCCAAAGCTCAGCTAAAGTCGGTTATATTCAAAAATATTGTTTCATTTTTGTATTAATTCAAATCCTCTGTTAAAGTTTTTGAAACATTTTAACATCCACTAAGGGGCGGTAAACATGTTACCTGTCCCCCTGACTGCAGCAGTATAAGAGTGCAATTAGGTGAAATGTCTCTATGATTTTTGACAGCTTACATTACTTCAATTGGCTCACTGTGGCTTAGAGGGTTGTTCTAGTGGTTTAGAGTCGAGACACTGGTCATTTACACTCCTTGCTTGACAAAGGAAATGGACGTTTTCGAAAGTTCACATAGTAAGTTTCCAATTCCTGTTTGTGTTCAAATTAAACTTAGTCTGTATTGTTAAAATATAATTCAGCAAGTAATCTAGTTGATAGAAGTTATGGGTGATTTCTTTTCCATTTGTGGCAGCTATTTATGTGGTTGATTAACACCTAGTCTCTTACAATAAACAATGACACTTGTTTTGCATAATTTAACAGTTTTATATCATAATTAGTAACAGTGAAAATGACAGTAACATTCTGTGGTGTCATGTACCATATTTAGTTTAAACACTATTTAATTTTTCAAAATCGTTTTGCAATATCTGTAACAATAGGATTTAGAAATTAACAAACTTTCAAATCAAGGTTAAGATCACAGTCTTCTTCTCATTGTGTTTGTGAACTAACATGGAGTTACATGTATTGCTTAAGATACCTGTCTGAAAATGAAATAATTTAACTCTTTCCCTTATAATCGTTTTTTGATTTGTTAATACTGTACTCATATGAAATAATTTATGTTGTCTGTGAACATTTTCTGGTTCAAAATATTCCAATAAAAGTATGATTGTGCATGCATATAGCATATAAATTGTAGCTAAGAGTGCTATATACATAGTGTATATGTTACAGAGAATGTTTTCAGACTAAAAGTTTTACCTTCCTACATCCCACTAAAACAAGACTCCATTCCATATTTTATTTGTCAGAAAGATATTCTTTACAAGGTTTTGTGTTATTGTAATATGCAATACATTTTGTGGAACTATAACACCTTTTCTGAATTCATGATTCATGATCAAGCTTGATATTTTTGCTTGTCCTGTGATAAGCTTATCCCCCTACTTTGAACAGATTATATGTTGTTTGACACATACATGTTTAATGGTTAACTCCTTATAAATGCATAATCAGTGTCAATGTGCTAACTGGTGCCATTTTCTTCTGTATTTCAATGTTATAATTAATCATTCTTTATCACTGTTATTCAGTGAATACACCATGTCAAATATTTTGTGTATAAGCTCATGTAGTGCGACCTATTGTGATGCCATAGAATTATAATGAATTGTGGTGTCATAGATTTACACATTATATATGGTGACATGTCGCAATGGGGACAATACGGCAGAATTTTAGACTTTACAAATGACCCAGAAATGTTGTTTTCTTCCATACATGTGTTTACAAAAGTTCTTGATCATGTGATACAAAGGATCTTTATGGGGAAAAAATCCATTTCATATGAGGTTTATAAAACTTATAACAATATTTATTATGTTTATCTTATTTAGTTAAATGATAAATTCTTCAACTTTTTTATAAACCTCATATGAAAAGAAATTTTTGTAGATCCTTTACATTTCATACATATCAATTTCATAATTTATCATAAGTCATATGTATATAGTTATCTTGATTAGGTTTTACTGACATATTTTATACTTTCTATTTCACTTCAATTAAACTCTTTTTGTAGATAATTCGTATATACACATCTGTTACACTTATAAATAGTTTTTTTTATTATTAATATATTTCATAATAGCTGCAATGTCATTTAATAAAAAACCTTCATGAGAAACAAAGTCTCCAGTTAATTTTTTTTCAGTCAGAATAAGTCTTTGTCATAGCGTTGTCCTTAAACAAATTTAAACTAACTTCATTGAATTTATCGTAAAACTATTCATTGAATTTATCGTAAAACTATTCATTGAATTTATCGTAAAACTGAAGCAGGCTTGTTAAATGGCAGTTGTGTCCTGGTTTATCTCTGAAATCTGCAGCAAAAGCTTTCTTTCGACATTATTCTCACTATTAAAGTTTTTTATAACAATTACATACAAATACAAGAAATTATTATTTTTGTGGGGAAACAATTTCTTTAATAAATCTACATCTAAGAATATAAATGTGCTGTATAATTTTATGACCATTACCTAATCATTAGGTGTCATTATCATTAAACTTGTACATTTATATGATCATCATGTTATCAATTGTAAATGTCTGTTACTGTAGTGTATATAACACAGGAGAAAATGTGATAACCAGGAAATAGGGAGAGCATGAGATGCTATATAATAAACTTTTGATATTTTAAATAAACTCTCCAGTTGTTTTTGTTTTACCTTCAATATTGTATAACCCTGAAACATTTGTGGGTATTTTCTTAATTTTGTGGTACACAATGATTAAAACAAAAATTGCTCTTTCCTTGTCTTTTGATTTCCATTATTGTATTTTATTCTATCTTACCTTTAACTTAAATCGTCCAAAACCAAACCTGCAGACATAAGTATATACAGCCAAAGTATCCAGACTTACAAAAGACAATTTGTGCGAGTGATGCATTTTTAGCTCACCTGGCACGAAGTGCCAAGTGACCTTATGCCGTGGTGCGGCGTCCGTCGTCCGGTGTCAAATATTTTACTTTAAACGACTTCTTCTTAATAACCGAACGGCCGAGGGTGATGATATTTGGCCAGTAGCATGCTAAGATGAAGGGCTAAAAAGTTTGTTCAAATAGATGACCTTCTCCCATTTTCAAGGTCACAGGGGTCAATTGTCTTAAAAAACCTTTTTAACAACTTCTTCTGAATAACGAAAATGCCCAGGGTGATGAATTTTGGCCAGTAGCACGCTGGGGTAAAGGGCTATCAAGTTTGTTCCAATGAATGACCTTCACCCATTGTCAAGGTCACAGGGGTCATATATTTTAAAAACTTTAAACACCTTCTTCTGAATAACGAAAATGCCCAGGGTGATGAAGTTTTGCCAGTAGCATGCTGAGATAATGGGCGACAAAGTTTGATCAAATAGATGACCTTCACCCATTGTCAAGGTCACAGGGGTCATATATTTTAAAAACTTTAAACACCTTCTTCTCGATAACCAAAATGCCCTGGGTAATGATATGTGGCCAGTAGCATGCTAAGATGAAGGGCTAAAAAGTTTGTTCAAATAGATGACCTTCAACCATATTCAAGGTCACCTGTGTAAAATATGTTAAAACCTTTAAACAACTTCTTATCAATAACCAAAATGCCCAGGGAAATGATATGTGGCCAGTAGCAGGCTGAGATAAAGGGCTACAAAGTTTGTTCAAATAGATGACCTTCAACCATATTCAAGGTCACCTGTGTAAAATATGTTAAAACCTTTAAACAACTTCTTATCAATAACTTAAATGCCCAGGGTAATGGTATGTGGCCAGGAGCATGCTGAGATAAAGGGCGACAAAGTTTGTTCAAATAGATGACCTTCACCCATATTCAAGGTCACATGTGTAAAATATGTTAAAAACTTTAAACAACTTCTTCTGAATAACCAAAATGCCCAGGGTGATGAGTTTTGGCCAGTAGCATGCTGGGGTATAGGGCTATCAAGTTTGTTCAAATGAATGACCTTCACTTACATTCAAGGTCACAGGGGTCAAATATGTTAAAAACATTAAACAACTTCTTCTGAATAACCAAAATGCCCAGGGTGATGAATTTTGGCCAGTAGCATGCTGGGGTAAAGATCTATCAAGTTTGTTCAAATGAATGACCTTCACTTACATTCAAGGTCACAGGGGTCAAATTTGTTTAAAATCTTTAAACGACCTCTTCTGAATAACCATGGGTCCCAGGATGTTGATACTTTGCAAGTTGCATCCTGAGATGAAAGGCTATAAAATTTGTTCAACATAATGACTTTGTTCGACTTTCAATCACAGGGGTGAAATGTTTTAATAAAAATTAACAGGCTCTTTTGAATGAATTTTAATCATAAATACTGATATTTTGCCTGTAGCTTTGTTTTAGATCACTTTTAAGGTTACAAGTGTGAGATTTATACCAGGAGAGCGATGCAGGCCCATTGGGCCTCTTGTTTTATACCCACTATTGACATGTAATACACATATTTTAGTATGACAAGTGTCTATCTGCTAAACATGACTGTCCATGATGATTTGATTGCAATGAATCAGATATATAATATAAGATAGACCTCATGTTTGAAATGAACACAATTCACTCATATCTAATAAGCTTATTTTAAAAAACCTGGTTGGTCAGTGCATGGAGATGGCTTCTATAATGACTGGAGCAGAGATCATGCCCTTAGAGAATTGTTTCCCTTTTCATAGAAATTTCTTTATGTCATGTGAACTTAAGTACTATGCAGTGTCACACTTGGTGTGAGGGGACACCTAGTGGAGGGCGAGTGTTTTGTGTTATATTTAGGTCACCCACTTTTCATACGTCTGCATTTGCCAAATTATGCTTTGGTACGGCTTTAATCATCTGTCCTTCAATTATTACAACCCAATATGTGTCACACTTGCGCTGCATATTACTTGGGCACAAACTCGCACATCAAGGTCAAATGTCAGACTGGTTACTGCTGTATCGCGATGGTCTGTGTGTCATATTTGGTCTGCCTATTGCACAGCATCAAGTTCAAAGGTACATAATGTGTTTTAACTTCACAATAGGGCTCGTCTATTACACCTGTATAAGCTCACTGTCATAGGTCAAACTATTGCATCTTGGTAGCTATTGAGGCTCTAGTGTTTTAATTTGTGTTGCACACAAGAAAGGTAAAGGTCAAAGCTCAATGTCATTCAGTTTGTGGGGCATTGTTTGGGGGACTGATCACACATTTATTACACACAGCACTTATTGTTACATGTATATATACCTACATTATTATGACTGCTGAAGGACATATCTTGCATCCTCATACTCTTATTTGGATCAGTGACATAGTAATTACACTATTATTCAACTGTACTGAGCTCAACAACAGCTAGTAAATCAGACATACTACCAATTGTCAGGATAAATATGATTGCTATTTTTGAAGCTAAGGTAAAATTAACAAGAGGTGTATTTGTCACAGGGTAGCAAGCAAACTCTGTAAGATGGTATCTCACAATAAAGATGCTTTGGTAACTAACAAACTTTACAGATGCAGCCATGACTTGCAATTTAATGCTGCCCGGGCAATGATGTTTCGGTAGCAATAAACTTTATCAATCATATCAAAAGAAGTCAATGAAGTAAATTATTCTCTAACCAGTTAACTAGAGCAATGCACATTGTTCACCCATCCATTTTTTTTATTTTATTTTTTTGACTAGACAATGGCTTCTTCAATTAATTTCTTTATATGAAACTTCAAACATGGATGTGTGATGACCTGAAAATGTTGTTTTTTAAACACTCCCAGAAACAATACACAAACATTCAAGGTCAAAGCAAGAGATAAAATGTCAAAGTTCAGGTTACTGACTGCAATAAGTCTATGAAAGGTCAACATTATAACATTTCAAAAGCTGTTTTGTGCAAAACTTCAAAGATGAATGCACCACCATGATTAGACTGTCAATGGATGCAGCATGGCATTCTTTTGTAAAGGTTCAATAAGGTAAAAAGTCCAAGCAATGCTTGCCCAGGCCATAACTTCTGAAGGCTGACAATTCTGTACACAATTTCACCATCCTCTGGTTCATTAACCCTAGCATCAAGGTCTCTGGAAAGGTTCAAATGTCAAATAGTCCTAATGCTTGTGCATAAACAACAAACTTGCTATACATGATTTTTTTCATTTATTATTTTAATTACCTTTTCTCACATGATCAAAAAGAAAATAAATAAAGCAACATATGTTCAAATTCAATTACCCTCAGATTTGTCAAAAAAACACTCCATTTAAATGAATTCATTTAACCAAAATCAACAAACTGTTCATGTTTACATCAGAGAAGCTAATCTCTTCACACTTTCATACATTTTTCTCCAACTTTTGTGGATTTTTCTCCATTTAGACGAGATTTTTCTGTAATCCCTGAACATGTCGACAAGCTACACACACTTGTGACACTTATCACAATTAATGAATTGAATATTATCACTCTTGAATAAACAAAAGACATCAAACTACAGCTGGGCAGTTGTGGTAGAAAGCATATTCTTATTTGCCAAAACATTATTTTTAGGGGTTGGAGAAAATTAATCACTTTGAACATATACCTTGCGGATGTAACAAAGAAATTGCAACCTTCAGATTAAGCCTCTGTAAAGAGTTTTGGACCTTCAAGAATCTTACCCCTTAGGTCAAGATTTCTCTGTCGTACACTCAAGGTAATAATAAATCAATTAATCATTTACCTCATGTCATTTACCACACAATGATTAAACCTTCAAAAATCTTACCCCTTGGGTTAAGAATTCTCTGTCATACATTCCAGGAAGTAAAACATCTATTCATCCTCAAGTCAATTAGCATGCAATGTTTCAAGACAAATAAATACTTAATCACAAATAAGAAGACAATGACAAAAGCTTTACATATAGTTATTTTGTGGAAACTGACCACACAATTCCATGAATTATAAGTTAATTTTAAATCCTGATTGAAGTTACAAAAGATTAATACAAAAATTGCAGATATGGAATGGTTTACCATCAGGTCAGGTTAAGAATGATTTATACATGTACATGTACTACTAATAAAATCAGGAGTATAATTTCTGAATACATTGCAGGATAGTTTTAATTCTGAGGTCATCCCTATGATATTGTAGTGTTAACATGTGTTGAATACCACAATAGCACAGGTAAAACTTGAGTCTGTGGTTAGACCATCACTCGCTCTTCACCATGTAAACGAATTATAAAGTGCAATAAACAAAGATTTTGTACAGTACACAGTCTAACAAGTGACCACATAATTTGGCAGGAGTTCCTGATTGTAGAGAGTACTTGTTATACATTGTCATAACCCAATTATAAGGCTGATCCAGACAATAATCCTGATTTGACCAGAGTCAAGTTTAGACAAAGAGTACTGTGTGAAAATAAATATACCCATTCTTTATCCCTCTTAATTCTCTGATTACTCAAAATGTATGTTGTATCAGCAACCTTGGTGAGTCAACTGGTGATGTTCCATTGTGCAACAACTACAGCACCCACCTGACACTTGAGACATGTGAATGACGGTCACTTCTCCCCTTCCATTTAAAACTTAATCCTGCTTTCTGTTTTAATCAGGTATGTATCCAAATGTTCACTGAATCAATCTTTTTGTTCTGTTTTTCACATATATTTTTTATATATATAAATCATTTCACAGTTAAATCATTTTCCCTTTAATGTTACAATAAAATATCACAGTATTACTCCACATACACCTAGTGTAGTTCTCTATATACCACTCATTCCGTAGCACTGTTTGTATTTTGCATATACAGTTCTTGAGTCTGGATGAATTCTTTTCTCAGTCCTTTATTCAGATCTACAATTTAGATTTCCCTGCTCTGGACTCGAATTCCTTCATCTTCATGGCTAGTCCCATATTTCCTTGGATCTTGAGTTTTCCTTGGAAGAATGCCTGAAAAAAACCAATACAGATACAGTATCAAAATCTATCAAGATTTATGAATATCTCATCACTCTTAACAATTTTGATAGGGCATTTACAGTCATACATATTGGTACAATATATTACAAAGGCTTTGTTTGTCTAAACGTGATCAACCTAATTCTAACACAGGCACATTTCACTATAATTTCATTAATTTTGAAATTATTGGCAATATATTTTTTTAGTTAAAATTCTACTTAGCTACCAGTGCTTGAAACAGCCTGATTGTATTTTTACTTAAACAATGTGCTAGTAATAGATTACAAGTTAAACATAAAAACAAGATTTGAAATCAATAACTATTCTTTTCCATCAAGATAGAAAATTTAGTCTACAAAGATAATGGCAGTTCAATGTTTGTGATTTTGGGCCTGATGCTTTACAAGTTATTTTCAATATCTACCTGCTGTGGGTTTAGCTTTCCCAGCATTAAGTTGAACATATCCTCATCATTCATAATGATCGTCACATCACCCTTGGCTGAAAAATACAAAGACCACAATCAAAGGTGCATACACATCTTTAAAATACAAACAAATAATCATGAATAGTCAAATGTTGAATAATACTAACGAAAAGTGTAAAGGAATACCACAGTAGATACTTCTGTAGATAAGTAGGACAATCGAGGAACAAAGCAGTAAACTTACGTTCCACTCCAAATTTGACGGATCCACTCCCGTTCTTGGCATCAACAACCCACACTCCTTCTCCATTCTTTCCCTTGACTTTAAAACAGAAAATTCCTTTCATCTTCTTCACAAACATGGGACCGTCCTGAAAACAAGAATGATTTGTTACATATTTTCTATTATGTATACTTAAGACATACACAACTTGACCGAGATATCAGCAACAATACAGTTAAAACTCTGCTTACACTAATTCAGTTATCCTGCTATCCATTGTCTTAAGAATTCAATTGACCTATTTGCTATATGTAATTGTTCAAGTAATTTGTCTCATAACAGATGCACCTTTACTGGAAACAAATATGACTGAATTTTACAATCAAATTTACTGAACTTTGAATGTCATTTACAAATTCTAAAGTCTTTGCAAATTAGAAAGGTTCTTGAGTGACTATAAACTCTGTAAAATTTGAAGAGATCAAAATTGTTTTTAGAATTCAACAGTCACATTAACTTAAATATCAACTACCTTATCCATGTTTTCCTTGATCTCTTTAAAGATGACTGCTGATTTGAAGTCCCCTTCTGACGAGGCACTAGCTGGAGCAAACTGCACAGATTTACTGAAACACAACAAAGACTGTATAAAACTCAACAACTCTACTAAGGGTTTGACAGCTCAAAAATTCATATTTTGGACAACTTTTTCGTGATTTAGGTATTGGCTGCTTCATGAAAGCCACAACCGAATTCATCTACACTGCCACAAATTGATCGATCATGCCAAAGAATTAATTTTAGAATGGTGTATTTTCATGGTTTTATTGGGGGTCAAGCAGCTAGTCCTTTTTCTCCCAGACCTAAGTTGTACTTATCCCACTGTCTCTGGGAATCATGTCTGTAGAGAGCTAATAGTGCTCTACCTCCCAGACCTAAGTTGTACTTACCCCATTGTCTCTGGGAATCATGTCTGTAGAGAGCTACTAGTGCTCTCCCTCCCAGACCTAAGTTGTACTTACCCCATTGTCTCTGGGAATCCATGTCTGTAGAGAGCTACTAGTCAGTGCTCTCCCTCCCAGACCTAAGTTGTACTTATCCCACTGTCTCTGGGAATCATGTCTGTAGAGAGCTACTAGTTCTCTCCCTCCCAGACCTTAGTTGTACTTACCAGGTACCCCACTGTCTCTGGGAATCATGTCTGTAGAGAGCTAATAGTGCTCTACCTCCCAGACCTAAGGTGTACTTACCCCATTGTCTCTGGGAATCATGTCTGTAGAGAGCTACTAGTCAGTGCTCTCCCTCCCAGACCTAAGTTGTACTTACACCACTGTCTCTGGGAATCCATGTCTGTAGAGAGCTACTAGTCAGTGCTCTCCCTCCCAGACCTAAGTTGTACTTACCCCATTGTCTCTGGGAATCCATGTCTGTAGAGAGCTACTAGTCAGTGCTCTCCCTCCCAGACCTAAGTTGTACTTACACCACTGTCTCTGGGAATCCATGTCTGTAGAGAGCTACTAGTCAGTGCTCTCCCTCCCAGACCTAAGTTGTACTTACCCCATTGTCTCTGGAAATCCATGTCTGTATAGAGCTACTAGTGCTCTCCCTCCCAGACCTTAGTTGTACTTACCAGGTACCCCACTGTCTCTGGGAATCATGTCTGTAGAGGGCTAATAGTGCTCTACCTCCCAGACCTAAGTTGTACTTACCCCATTGTCTCTGGGAATCTATGTCTGTAGAGAGCTACTAGTGCTCTCCCTCCCAGACCTAAGTTGTACTTACCCCACTGTCTCTGGGAATCCATGTCTGTAGAGAGCCACCACTGCAGCTCCTCCCAGGCCTAGGTTGTGCTGGAGAGCAACCTTTGCTCCATTGACCTGTCGTTTGTTTGCCATACCTCTCAGCTGCCAACACAACTCAGAACACTGGGCCAGACCTGGCAAACAAGAGTTAATTTTAATTCATTATCAAGATTTTTTTATCATGAAAATAGAGTAATATATATATTTAATGCAGGGTTCTTCCCAGGTCATTTAGCTGATACAGCTCTGTATCATCTTTAGTTTGACCTTACCTGCTCCAGTGACCGCTGCAGAAAGTCTCGACTTGTTCAAGAGACTACTGCATGCTCATTAAATTTCAAGTCCCATGTTTTTTTTGCACCCAGTATAAATGTTATATACAGCACACATTTTATTTTTTCATTTCTGTTAAAAACTATTTTGGACTTGTTATGTATGTAAGCGGACACCAAACAGTGACAGGATAGTCAACCTAAAGACGGTGGTCACTTAGTGTTAGAAGTAGAAGTAGAAATCCTCCCTGCCGTATCCTGGTATCAGCTTAATTGACCCGTATCACCTTGTTATTTGTACTGACTTGGGTCTTTTTACACTGATTAAATCCCAAGGCTGACACAAGTCAACAATGACCCCCACTGGTCAGTTGCACGATAGGCGTATTATGGCCACAGGGGGCCTGTAATTAGTGGGAAGGGGGACCGGGCGACGTGCCCACAGGTGTCCAGCCAGCGTGCTTACTGGAGCCTGAAGCAATTACCACCAGATCCTTTTAACATGGTCAATAGGTGGTTAATTGAAGTAACAACGGTAAGATAAACAAAATAAACACTTGATACAGCTATTATAAGAGCGCAGCTTTTCTTGCACCGAAGGCGCAAGAAACGAAGCTCTTTTCCGGTAACATGTACGAACAATTGTCATGGTAACGTCGAAATACTATGGCTTCATTCGCGTATCCGGTTGGGTAGCAGTATACAGTAGAGGGTTGTGGCCATGGGTGATATTTTTGTTAAATGGCTTACCCCTGTATAATGATATGTAAAAAAAATATAAAAATAAAACTGTGCTAAAATTGGTATAAGCATGATGAAGTGGGCTATGTGAGCTTCACATTTGTAAAAAAGAAAGAAGATTTGTTTGGTTCGAGAATAAAATTTTGGCCATAATCCGAAAGGGTGCGCTATCTTTACAGGAGGTAAAATTTTGACAACAACACACCACGCAAAATTGCAAAAAAACAAATTTTACAACTTTACTGGGACCCAGATAATTCTGCAACCAGGTAGGTAATCTTTAATTTCGGACAGAGCTTAGGAAAACAAGAGGCCCAAGAGGGCCTGTATCGCTCACCTGAATATTTAAGCAGTCATAGCAAAATATTCTCATTAAATATTATATTGCACTAAAAACATTTCCCTCGCAAACTTTGTTGGCTCCATCTGTTAAAAATACCAGCAAAATATTATTATAAGATTCTATACTTTTTGATTCTTCTTCAGAAGTTACTTGACATATTTTTCCCTGTGACCTTGTAAGTAGGTCAATGTCATTTTCCTTTTCCAATTGGTTAGCTCTATTCCTTAAAGCTACTATATTATATATTATAATTGTATGCCTTTTAATTCTTCAGAAGAAGTAGTTTGAACTATTTGACATATTTGATTGCTGTGACCTTGAAAGAAGGTTAATGTCATTTTCATCCTCAAACTTTGTCGGGCTCTATCCCAGGAAGCCATCAATCAATTATATAAAGATTCTATACCTTTCAGTTCTTCAGAAGAAGTCGTTTGAAGCATTTGACATATTTGACCCCTGTGACCTTGAAAGTAGGTCAAACTAATTTTCATTCTCAAACTTTGTTGAGCTCTATCCAAGGAAGCCACCAGCCAAATATGAAGATTCTATACCTTTCAGTTCTTCAGGAGAAGTCGTTGATAGCATTTGACATATTTGACCCCTGTGACCTTGAAAGTAGATCAAACTAATTTTCATTCTCAAACTTTGTTGGGCTCTATCCCAGGAAGCCACCAGCGAAATATAAAGATTCTATACCTTTCAGTTCTTCAGAAGAAGTCGTTTGAAGTGTTTGACATATTTGACCCCTGTGACCTTGAAAGAAGGTTAAGGTAATTTTCATTCTCAAACTTTGTTGAGCTCCATCCCTGGAAGCCATCAGCCAAATATGAAGATTCTATACCTTTCAGTTCTTCAGAAGTTGTTTGAAGTTTTTGACATATTTGACCCCTGTGACCTTGAAAGTAGGTCAAGGTAATTTTCATTCTCAAACTTTGTTGGGCACTATCCCAGGAAGCTACCAGCCAAATATAAAGATTCTATGCCTTTCAGTTCTTCAGAAGAAGTCGTTTGAAGTGTTTGACATATTTAACCCCTGTGACCTTGAAAGTAGGTCAAGGTCATTTTCATTCTCAAACTTTGTTAAGCTCCATTCCAGGAAGCCATCAGCCAAATATGAAGATTCTATACCTTTTTGTTCTTCAGAAGAAGTCGTTTGAAGTTTTTGACATATTTGACCCCTGTGACCTTGAAAGTAGGTCAAAGTCATTTTCGTTCTCAAACTTTGTAGGGCTCCTACCAACAAAGCTTTCAACTAAATATCATGACTCTAGGCCTGTCCGTTCTTCGGAAGAAGTTGTTTAAAGGCATTTTTTGGTAATTTTTGATGTGCCATGGTTTTCACACAAGTGACATACATAGAAAAAAGAGGTTTATACACTTCTCAGTACTTTAAATGTTTTGTAAATGTAATACAGTTTACATATATTTATACATGTATACATGTATTGTGTAGGGTAAATCCGCTGTGTTTACATTTCCTCGACATGTGCCTTGTTTATCAGAGTCGGGCCATTTCTACTGTATAAGTGCTACCTTAAACCTGTACAGAAAACGACAGGTATAGATTTGGACCGAGGCTGACCTCAGGAAAATTTGGTACGTGTAGATTGAGGGGTCCAGACGTACCCGACAGAAACTTAAATGCTGCCTATTGCCAATTTGCGTTATTTCTTTCTAAAACAATGTCAAGCCACATGTAGTTTTTAGATACGTTATGTAATTCAGTGGTGGCATGAAAGAAGGGCATAATATTTTTGATTCATTGTATTTTATTCTCCGAAACTGTGGATTTTTAGCTCTGCTTATAGAACGGTCCAAGTGTGTTCGTTTATCGTGGAAAATTTCTGCGCCACACGTACCGTTTCAACCGGGATACGCGAATATAGCCTCGGCTTCCAAAATCCTTCGTCACGGAAGTAGCTAGTATAGAGTTACCGCGGTCCTATTTTTACGATGCTGTTTAGCTTTGCTACACATTCTCAAAAATATCTCTTTATTTGATAAAAAAAATCTGTGGTTATGTAAATTTATGAAATTTAAAATTATAGAAACTGCAGCTTCTTTCAAATTTTCAGTCTTTTCTTCTCTCCTCCCAAACCGGAAGTAAATTGTAACTACCAAACCAGACGAAAATCCGGATATGTTTGGGCTATTGTGATTCTCTTTTTACACGATTTAGAGGGATCAGGCAAAGTATATCATGTCGGAAAATAAAATCGAACTTTAATCACCAATATACTTAACTTTATAATAACAGATAATAACAGTTATATTTGATAAACAATACATCTTCAAATATGAAGTCCCTCTACTGGGCCTCACCCTTTCTGCAACATTACGCTGAGGCCATAGACGGGGCAATTAAATGCAACAGTACCAAATGCATTTGTTTTCTCTTGAACTGCGTAAATCATTCGAATGTTTTTCTTTACTTATTATTAATTTTACATTTATCGCTATAAAACGAATAAATAGATAATATTTTAAACAATGTTATTTAGAAAATAAGATTGGAAAAAAACAGCATTTAGACGCTTCTCTCGTTTCAGGCAATGCCTGTTTTCAAAATGAATGATTTTACCCAGCAACAGATTCAAGTATATTATAAAAAAAAAACTACAGGTACATTTTGTATGTATTAAAATGGGTAATGTTATGATTCAAAAAGTATACTATACTATTGAAAAAAATGTGCGAGCTGCGCTCTCTCCAAGCCATGTCTGAGTCATATTAAATTTATTAAAGTAGAGAAATCCAAGTTCTTCGAACTAGAGGATAACACCAGAACTAGAGGACACCAGTGGAAGCTGAAGAAAGTAAGGAGTAGGATAAACTGTAGAAAAAAATGCTTCTCCAACAGAATTGTGAACGATTGGAACAACCTGACAAGCTTGGTAGTGACTGCAGGAAGTCTGAACATTTTTAAATCCAGACTGAATGACCACTGGAGAAACCTGCCTATTAAATTCACACCTGATTGTTATTAGCTCCAGAAAGATAAATAACTCACAGGTAAGCATACATTATAATTTAGTGATTTAGCTAATTTTAACAAATGCAACAATAGTAGTTATTGGGGGTATTAATGGAACTAATGATAACCGGCATAATGAAGTTATGAATATTCCACAAATCAATAATTGGAGTTGTGGGTTAGAGAACCAGCTTAACTACCCATAGAGAAGTAAGAGACGAGTATGATCGAACCGCATTCAAATAAAGCTTGGAGACTTCTTGAATTCCAGAAGGTGTCGCTTACCCTAGTGTACATAGTGGATAGAAACGGGATGTTGGAAGGGTAGTAACATTATTTGCTATCTTCAACAGTTTTAACCTTGGAAAAATGAACATTAAGGTCACGTGCTTATCTGCAGTTAATGTTGCTGGCAGCGGGTTAGTGAAATTGTTTCGCTACCTCAACACGTCTGCATATATATCAGGAATTTTAATTGTACATTGATTTAAAAAAAAATAAAAAATACTTCAACACACTAAAATCATTAGTGTGAAAGAACTTTTAACTTTTAAAACTTGTCACCTACAAATATGCGCAAACCATAAAGTATCGATGACAACAAGATATAGGACAGTCTCACAAGTTGAAGACTTACAACGACTGGAAGAACAGTGCGAACAGTGCAAATTTGATAACCATGAAATAGCGTGTATTCAGTTAGTGATGGTCGCCATCTTGGATTGTGTAAAGTACAGACCGGCAAGCAGAATGAAAATCCAGATTTGCTGTTTTTAAGAAGGGCCCAAATAAAAATGCTGTTTTAATCTCTGATCAAATTTACTGACAGCAGTTATTTATACAGTTTTAGAGGAAATGAAAACACTGTACATTTTATTAGAACATTTTCTCTTACAATAATAGGAACTGTGATATATTTGTTTTTCATGCAAGTGTTTCCCCAATGTAACATAAAAAACTTTAAAATATTCCTTCTTTGAATATATTAAATGGAGATTAAACCAAGGGATACAAATATAAAGATAAGAAACAAATGTTAAATCTATTATTCAATGTACAAAACTAATACACCTTTCTATAAATTGTATTTTTTTTTTAAATAATTAAAACATTTTATGGCCACCATTAAGATAAGCTGATGTATAGTTTAAATTCTATACAAAAATTATTGTTAAAACATTAAAAACACGAAATAATTTAATTTTTCCACTTCAAACAATGTTTAAGCATTCTTTCTACTGGACTCATGCCACAATACTGATTTCCAAAGAGTGTTCCTGATGCTGATACTTTTGCCTACTGGTGGTTTTGCTGATACAACTATGATCTGCTCATTAGACTGACCTGTAGCTCCTAGAGGGTGTCCCTTTGATATGAGTCCTCCACTAGGGTTGATGACATATTTTCCACCGTATGTGTTATCTCCATTATCAACCATCTGGCCAGCCTTCCCTGTAACAAACCAAGGTGCACAGTCCATACACACTCCTTCCATGTCAGCTTAACAACACCTCAGGTCAAGTTAAGATTGTGTCACAAACTTAATGCAGAAATATGTTAATGGACCTGCAACTGTACTGATTCACACTGACTGTTTTTAAGCATTATCACATTTTTTCCCAAAGATCTTTACAATGAAGTTTATCCTTATTTCAATTAACAATAAAATATATTTTGAAGCCATGTTAACAAATCCATACAAATCTTGGTCTGATAGCAGTGACATCACTAAATCCTCTCTTATGAGATGTGTACAGGTATGTCAGTGTCTTATCTAATCTTGACACAGACTATCTCCAGTTTCATGTTGTTACTATCATTGTAAAGATAAAGTCTGGGTGCACATGTTACATTGTAATGACTTACGATTTAACATATTATATCTCCCTTCTCAGAGTATTCAGTGCAAACCATAAATAGTCTTATAAGACAAAGTGGAGTTAGTGTAAACCATTTTATATCCTAATAACTAATAAGGTGGACTTGATTTAGTGTAAACCACATGTACCCTAAAAAGGTGATGTGGATTTCGTGTTCACCTTATATATCCTAATTAACATTAAGTTAGCAAAGGGTCACATAAATATACCCTTTGCCCGGAACCTTTGACCCTTTAATCTTGACCGATGACCACAGAAATATAATCAGGTGTAAAACTTTTATATTACCATACTAAATATGAATTCAATGTGAAAAGGGGTAGGAGTGTCATGAGATATCTTGTACACAAGCTTTTAACTAAGGATAGATTCACAGACGCACTGACAAAGTGATTACTGTACATTTGTATATCCTTTCAATAAGTATGTTTCCTAGCAAGGTGAAATTGACTTCTTGTGAGCCATATATACAAAAAGTATCTTAATAATGTGGTGTGAATTAAATAAGTGTAAACCATATATATTCCAATAGGTGATATGAAATTACAGTTAACTATGCATATATCATAATAAGCCAACACAAATGACACAAATCACCTTGTGTGCACCATGTTCTATTAGAGAGCAAATACACTGCCATTTTTACACATTGATTTCATTCCCTGATGACAAATTTCATTTAATCTGCACATTTCTCTTTCTCCAGGTAAGCACATAATTATTCTTCAGCAGTTAAGAAAGTGTCAAAGTAAACAAGAGGTCAAAGGGCCTTCGTGGTCACCTGAGTTATATTATAGATACTGGTAGCTCCGGAAGTCCTGAAATATACATCTGATTTTCCCTTTGGGGCCCCACCCTGGCCCCTGGGGTTGGGGTAGGAATCCAAATTTTACAATTTGAAAACCATCGTCCTCCAAGGATGATTCTCACCATGTAAGAATAATTTCCTACAGAAAATTGTCAAAATGTACCCAAGTGTTATTTCCCTATATAAACTAAAGTAAACTTTACCCCTCCCCAAGGGAAAACGGATAGCCCAGGGATAGTGATATTTACAATTTAAATAAAGCCCCTGATGATCTTTCCATCCATGCACAGAAATTGAATGTTGTACTTCTGAGTCTGGAGAATAGAATTTTTTAAAGTATTGGTTAATTTCCCCTTTTGGGCCCTGCCCTTGCCCCTTGGGTTGAAGTAGGAATCAAAATTTTACAATTTGAAACCATCTTCCTCTAAGGATGATTCTCAACAAGTAAGAATAATTTCCTAAAGAAAATAGTCAAAATATACCTAAAAGGGTAATAATTTCCCTCTATAAACAATAGTAAACTTTACCCCCTTCCAAAGGGAGAACGAATGGCCCGGGGGTCCTGAAATTTACAATTTTAATAAAGCCCCTGATGATCTTTCCATCTATAAACAGAAATTGACTGTATTACATCTTAGTCTGGAGAAGAAGGTTTTTGAAATATTGGTTAATTTTCCTTTTGGGGCCCCTGGGGTTGAGGTAGGAATCCAAATTTTACACTTTGCAATCATCTTCCTTCAAGGACAATTCTCACCAGGTAAGAATAATTTCACAAAGAAAATAGTCAAAATATACCTAAAAGTGTTATTTCCCTATATAAACTATGGTAAACTTTACCCCCTCCCCAAGGGAGAACAGATTGTCCTGGGGTCCTGAAATTTACAATTTAAATAAAGTGCATGGGGATCTTTCCATCCATGCACAGAAAATGACTGTAGTACCTCTGTTTCTGGAGAAGAAGATTTTTGAAATATTGGTTAATTTTCCCTTTGGGGCCCCGCCCTGGCCTCAGGGGTTTGGGTAGGAATCTACAAATATGTCACCCAAAAAATTCCATCCACTGGTTCTTGAGAAGAAGTCGAAAATATTAAAAAAATATGCACGACGGACGTTGCACAACGACAGACGGAAAGCGAACAGAATAGTTGTCTTCTGAAAATAGTAGATGATGACTATGACCTTGGCTAGTATGCCCTGAACATACACTCTGTTAAAGTATTCTCACACTTTCTCAATTGTATGAAATTTAATCAAAAGTTGTTCTGAAATAAAGTCGCTAGAATGAATGACAACAAATATAATCTATACACAGTAACACTGAACTGAACTTTGGCATCCTGAAACATGAACTTGACTGAGGTATTCACATAACTAACTACCATATTATTGCATGAAATATGATTAAAATCTTTTCGGATATGAAGTCAATATGGTGCTGACAAAGAAGTGATGATGCTATACCTCTTCCACAGCCGCAGCAAAAGATTATACCAAAGATCAGTGTATTTTTTTCTGTTCATAGAAAGGCATCATCCTGCATGACATACAATATTAACATTTCCTTTACGCAACTCCAGGGTATTCTCATATTCCTTTTATTAAACAAAGGACAGGAATAAACATCATTTGCCTGGTATAATTCTTATATATGTTATCATGTGTTACCTGGTTCACACAATCCAAGGGCTTCATATGTGATGAGCTCATTGCAGGAGAAGCAGTCATGAAGTTCAACCACATTGACATCATCACGAGAAAGTCCTGCAGAAAACAATTATAAGTGAGGCCATATTATATGTGTCAAAGTAAACACTGATTGGTTCTGAATTTGACATAAACAGACAGGTTTGGTTTGATATTAAGATCAATTGGCAGTGGACATTTTTTTCTGTAATTTCTACTGTTACTAAAAACAATGCATATATCAACTTCTGAATTCTTTTGTTAAGAATATCACAGAAACTATAAGTATAAGAGCAAATAAACCTCCTTAACAGAGCAGATAATCAATTAAAGCATCAATCAGATATTGTGGACTAACCTGCTTCCGCGAAGACTTTGTCAGCAGCTGTCTTGGTCATGTCATACCCGACCTGAAATAATTGACATATATCTAGTTGTTACATGCAACGCAATCAGACTTGTAAATATCAACAGCATTTCATAATTTAACAAGAGGCCCAGGGGCCTTAATAGCTCACCTGGTATTTTATTTTTCAATTTAAAACCTGCTGAGTACAATACAGGTTTTATCAAAGGAGTACAATAAACAAAGTTGCTACATATATTTTGGTGGGAAAGACACCAAGAAAATAAGTTTCCATGTTATGTTCCAATTTTCCTCTATTGGGCCTCACATGCACCTTATTATGCAAATTAAACAAATTGAGATTTTTTCCCTTAAGCATGCTTCAGACTGCTTTTGGTTTATATCCCTTCACTTGTATAGTAGGAGAAAAAAATCTCTATATCCCCTATTGGGCCCTACCCCTCTGCCCCCAGAGGGGCAACACCCTCCGTTTATACAAACTGGTTCCTTTGTCCAAAGATGCACTCGAACAAATTTGGTCAAAATCCTTCAATTGGTTGAGAAGAAGAAGATTTGTAAGATTTACCTATTTTCCCCTGCCCCTTTACCCCCAAGGGGGCCATACCCTCTGTTTACACATCACTGAGAACCCTTTTGCCAATGATGCTCCAGACCAAATTTGGTCAAAATCCTCTGAGCCGTTAAGGACTAGTAGCGTTTTACAGAAAAAAGTTGACGAACGACAGACACCGGACGCTGTGCCATGGCATAAGCTCACTTGGCCCTTCAGGCCAGGTGAGCTAAAAATGCTTATTTATTAAATGATCCTACACTACTTTTTATACTTTGGAATATCAAGGAAGATAATATTAAAGCAGTTAACTCAAATACTGACAATGAACACTAACCATTTTCATGCAGCTCTTGTCCTCAAAGGTACTTGGCAGGTCAGTGGCCATCTGCATGCCAAGGACCTCGATAGCCTGTGACTGAAGGTTGTGTTTTATCACAAAGGCCTCACTTGCCAGGATGGCAGCAGCAGATCCGTCTGATGTTGGACTGAAACAGAAAAAGCAAATTTTCAGACAACCAGGACTGATATATAGCATAAATAAAGCTGAAACAGAGTAAGAGGTCAAAAAGGTACTGTATCTCTCACCTAGATATTTACAAAATTATTGCAAAATATTCTCATAAATAATATACAGTTACATAGTTGGAAACTTAACTGTTTTCATGTTATGACCTAGTGAATTAGCCACTCGGGGCTAGACTGGACCAATGAGCCAATCATGATAGAAATATTGTGTTCATCTCTTCATGCCTAACAATTGTATATGTGGTTAATGAGTTGGGATTTTAATAGTTTCAATGTTATGACTTAGAGATAGGTCAAGGCCCCCAAACTGATTCTAGTATCATGGAAGTATTGGTCTTCTGCAAATATGTATATTTAGTTTTAGTGCAGAAATCACAGCCATTTCCATAATATGAATGCAGGTAATAAGTCCCCAAGCTGGGGTTGTAGGCCACATCCCTTTGGCCCCAAAGGACCCATACCCTTAATTTATACAATGTTGATTCACTTTGCCCAACCATGTCTTACAACGTTGAGTGCCCTTGGCCAGAGGATATGCAAGACCATAAATTAAATGCTGTATCTGGAACTAAAGGACAAGGATTTTAAAGATTTAACTGAAGTAAAAATTGGTAAATGGATGAGGAATGTCATGCCATAAGTATAAGCTCAATCCGCCTTTTGACCTTTTAAATTTGCAATCCAAGAAATCCTGGTCAATCTGGCTGCATCATGTTTGGTACATTTGTGCTTACCAACACTGCAGTTTGGTCAGTGGGTCGTGGATTTTCGCTGATTCCTTAATGGCTTCCAGACTGTATTCTTGTTGGAATTGGGAATACCTGTGAATAAATAACAGGTATTAACACTAAGATCATATTAAGGGAGTTATTTTCAACATATAAAGGCTACATTCGCGTATCCGGTTGAAACAGTTGAACTGGTTGAACCTGTAAAGAAAACGACAGGTACAGATTTGGACCGAGGCTGACCTCAGGAAAATTTGGTACGTGTAGATTGAGGGGTCCAGACGTACCTGACCGAAACTAAAATGCTGACTATTGCCAATTTGCGTTATTTCTTTCTAAAACAATGTCAAGCCACATGTAGTTTTTAAGATACGTTATGTAATTTAGTGGACACGTGAGAGAAGGGCATAATTTACTTGATGCATTGTTTTTTATTCTCCGAAACTGTGGATTTTTAGCTCTGCTTATAGAACGGTCCAAGTGTGTTTGTTTATCGTGGAAAATTTCTACGCCACACGTACCATTTCAACCGTGATACTCGAATGTAGCCTTAGGTATAAAAGGTTTTCATGGTCACACAATAAATCAAGATTGAGTTTGAAAAAAAGTCTTGGTGAGTGACTTGGATGCAGTATATTTGGAAGTAGGAAAAAATAATCAAACTGGCCACTCATTATATCATTCATAAAAATCTTAATTTACACACAAAAATTCTTGTTAATATAAATCTAAAATAGAACAGTCCCCAGAATGGCAAATACCCTAGCATGTGCCAAAAACAGAAGGAACAGTTATTTCAACTAGAACACAGACAGGTCAGTAAGGGCCCCGTCTTGTGGCAATATATCCCACATAATCATCAAGAAGCAATCTGCCCATATAGTTGAGCTTGACGTTTGACATTTGGACTTAAAAAAAATCGCAAGGAAGCAAAATATTCAGAAAGGTAAATACCAGTGCAATACTCATTTGTTAGCTTTGATTTGTTTTATTTCACCTTATATACCTCCTCCATCAAGAGCCAGGGTCAAAGTCAGAGATCCACTTTGTCTTTGACCTATGTACCCAAATGACCTTGACCATTAACCCAGTGACCCTGATCTTTGGTCAGTTGACTCATTCTTTAATTCCGACTAACTTTGCTTCTTAATATCATAACAAAATGTTAATCAGTAAAAAATACAAAACTTGACCTTGACCCTTTGGACCCCGTAACCTGGACCCAAGGTCAGTTGACTCTGTGTTAAGTTCTGAACAACATTGCTTCATAATGTCATAACAAAATTTTCCTCAAGGAAAAGGTACAAAATTTAACCTTCACCTTTGACCCAGTGACCTTGACCTTTGGTCAATTGACTCCTTGTTTAATTCTGAGCAACATTGCTCCAAAGTGTCATAGGGAAATGTTCACCAGTGAAAAGATACAAAATTCAACCTAGACCTTTGACCCAATGACCTTGACCTTTGGTCAGTTGACTCCTTGTTTAATTCTGATCAACCTTGCTTCATCATGTCATAACAAAATGTTCATCAGTGAAAAGATGCAAAATTTGACCTTGACCTTTGAACCTAATGACCTTAATCTTTGACCTTGACTTTTTACCTGAATGTGTATTTTTGTGAACTGAACATCGACCAAGTTTCATGTACATCGGTCAATAAATACCAAAGTTATCAGCCAGGAACAAAATTTGTGGACAGACAGACAGACAGAGTGATCACTATAGGGCACCCGTATCTCCGATACGGGGCCCTAATAATGTTTTTTCAATAAAAGGGTATAACATAGGAGGTTGCTCCAATACAATATTTTATTAAAACCCCTTTTAATCATTTGAGATTTGTAGTGCAAAAATTGTTTTTAAAAATGGGACATAACTCCATAAGTACATGAGGTGTAACTCCAATCGATCTAATTTATTCACATCCCAGCCATGTAAGGGTTCTGTGTACCAAGAACCAATGAAAACGGTGCACACTTAAGAGGAGTAAAAAAACAGTAAACATCTTACTGGAGTACCAATGACTTGTTTGTTGAGTGCTTATGTACTATTCAGAGAACACAAAATACGAGATGTTTGAAACTGAAAATACTCAAGAAGATTGCTGGTTGAGTGTTTGTGTGTACAATATTGAGGATACTTACGGGGTTGTTTGTTGAGTGTTTGTGTGTACAATATTGAGGATTCTTACGGGTTGTTGGTTGAGTGTTTGTGTGTGCAATATTGAGGATACTTACGGGGTTGTTGGTTGAGTGTTTGTGGGTACAATATTGAGGATACTTACGGGTTGTTGGTTGAGTGTTTGTGTACATTATTGAGGATACTTACTGGTTGTTGGTTGAGTGTTTGTGTACAATATTGAGGATACTTACGGGGTTGTTGGTTGAGTGTTTGTGTACAATATTGCGGATACTTACGGGTTGTTGGTTGAGTTTTTGTGTACAATATTGAGGATACTTACAGGTTGTTGGTTGAGTGATTGTGTACAATATTGAGGATACTTACGGGGTTGTTTGTTGAGTGTTTGTGTGTACAATATTGAGGTTACGTACTGGTTGTTGGTTGAGTGTTTATGTATAATATTGAGGATATTTACGGTTTGTTGGTTGAGTGTTTGTGTACAAAATTGAGGATACTTACGGGTTGTTGGTTGAGTGTGTGTGTGTACAATATTGAGGATACTTACGGGGTTGTTGGTTGAGTGTTTGTGTGTACAATATTGAGGATACGTACTGGTTGTTGGTTGAGTGTTTATGTACAATATTGAGGATATTTACGGTTTGTTGGTTGAGTGTTTGTGTACAATATTGAGGATACTTACAGGTTGTTGGTTGAGTGGTTGTGGTTTTTGTAGGCAATCTTGGCAAAGTGTAGTGTTTGTGTACAATATTGTTGAGGATACTTACGGGATGGTGGTTGAGTGTTTGTGGTTTTTGGAGGCAATCTTGGCAAAGTGTTCTGGCGTGGTGAGATAATTCTGCATGTGTTCCCGTGCTGCGTTTCCAAACATTTGAGCAGCCATAGGACCTTTCTCCAGGCCAAAGATGTCCATCATCACAGCAACATGCTTGTCTGCTGGGTTAGTCCGATCAGTGAACTGAAAATAGTTTGATGTTACAGTATATCTTCATCATTACCCCTTTACGGGTTGTTGGTTGAGCGTTTGTGTACAATATTGTTGCGGATACTTACGGGTTGTGGGTTGAGTGTTTGTGTACGATATTGAGGATACTTACGTGTTGGTGGTTGAGTGTTTGTGTGCAATATTGAGGATAGTTACGGGTTGTTGGTTGGGTGTTTGTGTGGACAATATTGAGGATACGTACTGGTTGTTGGTTGAGAGTTTACGTACAATATTGAGGATACTCACGGGTTGTTGGTTGAGTTTTTGTGTACAATATTGACGATACTTACAGGGTGTTGGTTGAGTGGTTGTGTGTACAATATTGAGGGTACTTACAGGTTGTTGGTTGAGGGTTTGTGTGTACAATATTGAGTATACTTACGGGTTGTTGTTTGAGTGTTTGTGTACAGTATTGAGGATACTTACGGGTGGTTGGTCGAGAGTTTGTGGACAATATTGAGGATACGTACTGGTTGTTGGTTGAGTTTTTGTGTACAATATTGAGGGTACTTACAGGTTGTTGGTTGAGTGGTTGTGTGTACAATATTGAGTATACTTACGGGTTGTTGGGTGAGTGTTTGTGTGTACTATATTGAGGATACTTACGGTTTGTTGGTTGAGTATTTGTGTACAATATTGAGGGTACTTACGGGGTTGTTGGTTGAGTGTGTGTGTACAATATTGAGTATACTTACGGGTTGTTGGATGAGTGTTTGTGTACAAGATTGAGGATACTTACAGGTTGCTGGTTGAGTGTTTGTGTAAAATATTGAGGATACTTAAGGCTCGTTGGTTGAGTGTTTGTGTGAACAATATTGAGGATACTTACGTGTTGGTGGTTGAGTGTTTGAGTGTACAATATTGAGGACACTTACAGGTTGTTGGTTGAGGGTTTGTGTGTACAATATTGAGTATACTTACGGGTTGTTGTTTGAGTGTTTGTGTACAGTATTGAGGATACTTACGGGTTGTGGGTTGAGTGTTTGTGTACAGTATTGAGGATACTTACGGTTTGTTGGTTGAGTATTTGTGTACAATATTGAGTATACTTACGGGTTGTTGTTTGAGTGTTTGTGTACATTATTGAGGATACTTACTGGTTGTTGGTTGAGTCTTTATGTACAATATTGAGGATTCTTACAGGTTGTTGGTTGAGTGTGTGTGTGTACAATATTGAGGGTACTTAAGGGATGTTGGTTGAGAGTTTGTGTACAATATTGATGATACTTACGGGTTGTTGGATGAGTGTTTGTGTACAAGATTGAGGATACTTACAGCTTGTTGGTTGAGTGTTTCTGTACAATATTGAGGACACTTACAGGTTGTTGGTTGGGGGTTTGTGTACAATATTGTTGCGGATACTTACGGGTTGTGGGTTGAGTGTTTGTGTGTACGATATTGAGGATACTTACAGGTTGGTGGTTGAGTGTTTGTGTTTACAATATTGAGGATACTTACGGGTTGTTGGTTGAGTGTTTGTGGTTTTTGTAGGCAATCTTGGCAAAGTGTTCTGGCGTGGTGCCATACTTCTGCATGTGTTCCCGTCCTGCGTTTCCAAACATTTGAGCAGCCATAGGACCTTTCTCCAGACCAAAGATGTCCATCATCACAGCAACATGCTTGTCTGCTGGGTTAGTCCGATCAGTGAACTGAAAATAGTTTGATGTTACAGTATATCTTCATGATTACCCCTGGTATATATCGATTTTTCTTGGTGTGTATGAAATTTTCTGAATACTGAAGTAGAATTCCAAGGACAGTAATTCAAATTTCATTCAATGTATACAGTATGAATAAATATTTGTTCTGATATTTGAATTTATATTTGATGCTTTTAATTTAATTTAAAGAAATCTATATCATATATATATCTTTTACTTAGGAACACAAATTAATGGAGTGAGTACCAGATTCCCTTAACTTGCTTTATCATTTTCAATGCAACAACATATGTAGTCCGAGATGGAAATTGTACCCGATATTATGGTAACGGAGTGAATGTGTCCATCAAAAAGTGTTTGGATATAGCATTTGTTCTTCATTATGCATGAATATACAAAACGTATTATCAATATTCTGTGTGAGCGAACAAGTTCAATCTTCAGTAAAAAGAGAAACTTTCCTTGTTTCTTATTGAATGCAAGTTATTCAATAGTTTGGTTTGGTTGGGTTTAGTATTGTTTAACATCCTATCAACAGCTATGGTCATTTAAGGACGACCTCCCCTGTGGGTAAGATGCATTTGTGTAGTTTATGCGTCTGTGTTTTGGGAGGCTGCGATATGTTCATGTTTGTCTCCTTGTGATAGCGCAGAACTGATGCTGACTTTATAGTGCTACCTCACTGAAACATACTGCTGAAGACATCCAGCAGGACACCCCACCCGGTCACCTTATACTGACAACGGGCGAACCAGTTGTCACACTCCTAAATTGTTCATGGATAAATACTAATATGATTTCAATAGCATACAGCATTAGTACCCAACAGTTAAACATGATCTTGATTATGAACTTAGTATACAACATTTTATATAGCACCCTATCTAGCTAAAGTAAGCCAATCTAAAGCCGTTTACAGTACATAAATATACAATTAATACAATGAGCATATACATTAATCAATACAATTTGAGGAATTCGCAGGAGCTGCCTCATCAGGTGCTCACTACTTGTCCTTTGCCACCTTGCTAATATCTCCCTATGTGTGTATGCCTGCATGTCTGCTGGAAATGTAATGTATTATGTTTGTAGTGGGATACCACAACATCCACCCCAGACCATTGGTATGACAATGTATACAGTATCATGAGTGCTTTTGTCTAGCTACTGTGAGAGTCAATCACTGAGGTTCATCAAACACATATAAAGGAGACAAGCTTGAGCAGTGTGGTTGGAACCTCCTAAGGGTCATGCATTTGACATTCCCAAGACACTAGAATGTTGATTTTGTTCATAAGTTCATAAATAACTGACTGATATTAATAATTTACTTAATAACTAAGTTGTAATAGATAGACAGAATGACAATTCCTCATTATGAGTTGGAGTGATATGTTAAGGATCAAATAGGACATAATGATAATGGTACAACATGAAAGTACATTTATACAACATTGTATTTCATGTTAATTCCGTCAGTTTATCACAACTTATTAACCAGCATTCTTAAATCAATTTTGCATGCATTAACAAAGGTCACAGACAAGCAACCTGGGCTGTGAGCTAGAACACTTACATGTGCAGAAATTTCTAGCACACTGGGGTACAGTTAGCAACAAGCGGGCCAAGGGAGGTAAATAGGGTTGCACACATCTCTAAACCAACTCAACGCAACCACGGTATAAAGTGATATAATTTAGTTTGTAGAAAAATATATACAATATATAGAATTGTTTGTTACATTGTCTAGTGCTGTTAAGAATTATTCTTATTGTGAGTAAATAGCAAAATGCTTTCTTTTGTCTTTTTCTTCAAATAATAAACAGACATGGAAACACTACATGGTATACATAATTTCAAATAAATTGTACTCTCATAAACAGTACATGACATGATTCCATTTCCTGTTTATCTTAATTTCAATTACTTTTTGTAATGAAATTTGACTTTGATGTTGAAAGACAATGAAATTTAGTATTCACAAATATATTTGAAATGGCATGCAATTAATGATGTGCTACATAAGGATAGCTAGCAGGGATTATTGCCCTCTTTTGAATATTCCTCTTGGATATGTCTGTGAGATAATAAAAACACTTACAAATTTTTTGAGGGATCCTCGAAACATTTTCTCAAATCCTAGTGCCAGAACACAATCTGCTAATCCTGAGCAAAAGACATCATCACATGTAAGATATTTCAAATATAGGAATACAACTTACAACAGAACCAAGGGATCCTCTGTTCATTTTCTCAAATCCTAACACCAGGATACAGTCTGCTAGTCCTAGAGAGAGATAGAAATTATACCATCACATAGTCCAGCATACAAATCCAAAGTATAGAGAACATGATTTGCAGCCTTCTTCCAGGAGAAGGGTTACAGAGAAGAAAAATTTTGTGTTTTGTTTACAAATAGCATGTGTTCAGTAATAAATATTTAAGTAAATGAACAGACTTTTTTTTCAAAATAACTACAGCTATAATCATGTAGCATGAAAACCCAAATCTTAAAAAAAACAGCCCACAGTATGTACACTTAAAAACGATCTGCCATATTGGAAGATGTCTACTTCGGAATAAGATTCATCAGTTTGGTGTGAATAATAAGGGCTAAGTTTGTTTTAAACAGAAACAGGACTTGAAAACTGATGTTGCAACTTTCAAAAATGTCTGTTTCCTTAGTTAAGCAATGAGTGTAAATGACTCTTTTAACTTATTCACTCCTGAAGACACATTTGAACCCCTCCGATTCAAATGTTGGAATAGTTCATTATGAAATTTAAAAGGTGAATGACTTAACCGCTAAAAACAACTATTGGGCGAAATGTCAGATTTTTGACAGCTGACTTTACTGATCGGCACACTGTGGCCAAGAAGAGAGAGACATCCAACACTCCAACATTACTGCTGTCTTAGATTGGATGTCTCTCTATTAACCCATTAAATCTACATATATATACGAGACATTAAGTTCGTCAATGGGACTGCTATCTTACACAATGTCTTTATTCTACACATAGGTATAGGAAAAACTGTGAATTTTAAATACAGTTTTTGATGAAATGTCTACATTGATTGCTTTACCTACCTCCCTGGATGAATTGTTTCCCCATGACTAAGGCAGTGGATCCTGTTGCACAATTGTTATTCACCTGGAACAAATATCACACCAACTTAGTAATATTAGGGTCCAAATTCATCACCTTCCAAAATAGGGAGAGTATTGACATGTATTTGCATGTTTTACTTTCTACCTCCACACATGTATGGAATGATGAACTACAACACATGACTTATAATTTGAATGCTCTAACCAGTAAAATATTGCCTGTCTGATATGTTCAGAGACTCACATTGTAAACTGGAATCCCAGTCATACCAAGCTGGTACACAGCACGCTGCCCACAGGTCGAGTCACCTTCAACATGAAACATTAAGAGGCTCATTTCTTGCAGCAATATTCTCAAGTCAAGTACATTACAGAAACAACTATATTGTTGTTTAATTAATTTGTATGTTACCTAGAAATTCTACTGTTGTTTCATTCACAACACTATCTCTTGTTTTTTACCCAGCCTTGGTTCTATCCCAAATTCCATTTCTGTGGTTAGAATCTCCATGTTCCCCATGGTTACATTTGGCAGACTATGAATATACCGTGAGATAAGAAACATAAATAAAATAATATAAAAAAGAATAAGAAAAAAAAAAAGAAAAAAAACATAAATCGTATAAAAAACATAGTATCTCACCATACACATATCCTACACAGGCTTGCTCGACTTCTTCAAATGATATTCCAGCATCTTCAAGTGCCTTTGTCCCTGAAAATAGCACACACACAAGTTAAGCAGACATTTCAACATAGTTAAATTGAACTTTTAAAGATGTGATTAGATTTCTTAAAATTCTCAATAAAATTTTATTTTTCTCACCTGCTTCTTTCGCCATCTGTGGGTAGTCAAAATTTTCTCTGCGACCAGGCTTTTCAAACTGAAACAATACACGTCAGTTTTAAAGAACAAGCTTTAATTGCAAAATACAGAACCTTATCTGGATGGGGCATGATTCCCATAAAATGTTGTTAAATTCATAGCAATCCAATCCAACAACTACCTTAGGTATCATTTATGTCTACAAGTTTTAATATATATACGGTACTAGGGTAATGTTCCTTTTTTCAACAAAATTAACAGATAGAAATTAGAATATGGGCATAATATCCAAGTAAAAGACAGGATCAGAAAATAAGTGTAGATGCACAAGTTCCAAATGTTGTCAAAATGTGATAATATCTGTGAAGTTTTTTTTTCAAAATTTGGATCAAAACTGTTGGAGGGGTTTTGTAGACATTTTTTGACAAAATTTTACAAAAGAGAAATAACCCAGAGGGATCTCTGTGCCAACCATCGTAAGCTCTTCTTACCAGTAGTTCTATGCAAGTTTGATATTTTCCCTTCAAAAGTTTGTTTCTGTTGAATTGATAGTCTTGTCAACAGTACATGTATATGAATCCTGTGGAAAATTTTGATTAAAATTTCCTTACTGCTGGGTTTGTCCATGTCCTTTCAAAGTGATACCCTTTTCACTTCTTGAGAAACTTGAACTCTCAAAATCCAACAAGACTGACTGGGATGTAACATGCATGACTATGGAACAAGGAGTACCTCCTAATGAACTCCCAAAATCGAAGATATCAGTCTTTCTTATCTAGAGAGTGAGATTTTTTTTACAGAGTGATATTGCCAAAAAAAATCAAGATCCTCTGACTAACAACACCCAAAAGCATATTAATCCAGGTAGGTTTCAATCACAACACGCTCAAGCGTTACCAATGCGTGGGTTTTTATTACGGTCAACTAGTTTCGACTCTATGTGCGAGTCTTCATCAGGACATTTTTTCAAGATATTTCAGCCCCTGAAGTACTAAAAATTGGGTGCAGTTTTACATTGTTAGTTATTACATGGCGTCATCAATAGATAGATAATACACAATAGTGAAGGGCAGGTAAGCCCTTCTTAGATGTTCTAACTTTATAGATATGCTGTGATTATTAAAAATGTCTTTCTCTGAAATTCAAACTTATTGTTCACATGTAGTTTTATATATATTAACGTGCTACGGTATTTCCGTAGATGATTTTATTATATATTCGTAGAGTGTTTGTTTGATTAATTTAGTACATCCTGGCACCATGTGCCGCTTGACAGTGAAATATTTGTTGGCTGTTTTTCTCTTCCGCCCTCACTTGCAGTGTCTGACGATGAAGTGGTGTCACTTATCATCAGGTCTTCTTTGAGAGTGTGCATTGTTTCCTCCATGATTGGTCTGATTGTAGATGCTGGTCCCATAGTTGTTATTCCAGTGGCCGGCCGTACTCTGAATTTTACATTGTCTAAATGTTTTTTGGTTAAGGCTTCCGCCGGTAAGTCCTTAGTTGTTTCTTCCCTCACTTCTGGTTCGATTTTATATAAGGGGTGTTCATTCTGTTGGTGGCGTTTATTATGTTCTCTCCTGCCATATGCCCGTTTGCAAATTTTGCAAACATAACTTGTCTGCTTTCCTCTGCCGTGTCTGAGATTGACATGTCGGCGCAGGCTCCATAGTGCACCGAACGTGCTCCCACACAGAATGCACGGGAGCCATAATTTAGGTCTCAGAGCTTTTAGTTTCTTTATGGCTTTAGTATTGTTGGCTGCTGGCTTCGATATAATAGTTGAGTTCTTTGCTTTTGTAGTTTTCGTATTTGCCATTATTTCTTTTAGGTGATGATGTTCATTCCCCACGGTCGTTGTGTTTTCAAGATATGAATCGACGCTTCTTCTGTTCTTAGCCGGTTGTTGATGTTATGTATACCTGACACAATGCATGTAGCCATAACATCATCAGCATTGTGTCCAGGTGCATTGAAATGTGCCGCGACTGGCTTGCGCTCATCTTGGCGCGCAATGTCGTAGAGGTGATTTCTGGTTCTGGTGTTTATTGTGTTGGACGTTTGACCTACGTATTGTAGTTGGCATTTCTTGCAGTTTATGACATATACCGCATTAATGCTCTGACAGTTTATGCTGTTTTTAATTTTGTGTGTTTGTTTGGTGGTGTGGCTAGTGAACGTGTCACATACGTTCATGTGTTTGCAGATTCTGCAGTTTTTTCCACATGGCCGGCTGGCAGATAGTCACTTGTGAAGTCACTGCGTACCAGATAGTTTCTGATTGATTTAGGTTTGGTATAGGCTACTAACATTCTTGAGGTTAAGATTTTCTTTGTTTCCGGGTTGTACTTAAGTATGTGTTCATTGTTTCTTATGATCTGCCCTACGTTTGGGTTAAAGCATATTAGTAATACATACCTATCAACCCTGACTTTAATGCAGAGGTTGAGATTTTTGTTACCAGATGAAAAGTGTTTTTGAAAAGCATGAATATTTTTTAATAGTCATGAAATGAATATTGAAGTTTTACCAACATATATCATTAGGTTCATTACTTTTTTATTTGCAAAATTTTAACTTCGTTCGGGTATTATTTAAGTCCAGAAATTGTTCACAGCATCTGGTTCATGTTTTAAAATACACAGATGTTGTGTTTATAATTATTGCTACGAAGTTGCAGATGGCACATTAGTAGTTGTCCACCTTTGATTGATATCTGAAACCTCACTTAATGCAATGGAACGCCAGTCACTGCTATCACACTTTCTTGATCAAGGGCCTCGAATGGCCTTAGAAACCTGTTATGTCTGACTGATCAACCCATGCACATAGCTTTCACTGTTGGACATTGTAACCAGGCAGTTAGTTTTTAAGAAATATTGAGCAAAGCTATACATAAAAGCATGAGATTTAAATAGCAGGAGCAAAAGCACTGGGAAATGGTCCAAGATCAACCGACTCACTCAGATCAAGAGAGTTGATAAGTGGGGTAATATTGTGCTTTCAATAGCTGACCATGTAATTTCTATGCTAAATGTACAGTAACATATTTACTGTTTTTCGAGCATTCAGATATTTGCCTAATGAGTTATGTTCTAAAAGCATGAAATGAAATTTGATCATTCATGTAGCATATTTAACCTATATATCTGTTTGAAACATATCTTACATGATCAACTGATATGTGTAAAACTGATAACACAGTAATAACAGATAAACGTTATGTGGACCCTGTACCAAATGTCATACTTACTGACCACTGTAGTCTGTATGCTCTTTACACTGCCGTGGCTTTGGTACATAATCTTTTCAATAATATTTTAAAGAACACAACAAGAACCTAACTTGACTTCATTCATCATTTTTTTACCCACTTTATCAGGTCCAGTACACTCTGCCGATTGAGCTATATATAGCTATATAAACCTATAAATTATAGCTGAACTATATTTTCTCAGATTTCAATTTTCATTAAAGCAAAGTCACATAAAACAGTAAGGTTTTGATAATGTTGACTACAAAAAGCATACAATAAGATGTTTATTATCATTTTTCAGAAATGCAAAAATTTCCATTTTTTTACACCATTATTTTTAAAAAAGAATACGTCTACTGTATTCTTTTTTTTTTAAATTTGAATCAAACTTGTCGTATACTTATATTTAGGCCTAATGTCTTTTGTTATCAACCGAATGATACAATTTTCTTTCAAAAAAGAAAATCACTTGAAAATAGCTCAAATAACCTATTTCACATAGGTCAATAGAGCTATTACAGCTATAGGCCTATAGCTCAATCGGCAGAGTGTACTGGACATGTTTATATATATCAGTTATCACTTCCATTCTTCTAATTTAAATAATCTCCGTCATCAAGAAATGACGCTCCCATCTTGAAACATTTTATCCTTACAAAAAAAAAGACAAATTCCATAGAAATCAAAAGTTGGTGAATGCTAAAATGTAACATTTATACCTAACAGCACATTTACTAATGCAACACTTAGTCTTAGCGCGAGGGTTCAAAGATCGTTGCGTATGCTTCCTCCCCTTTCATTAAATTCAAGCGATCATTAGAAGTTTGAATATAATTAACTCAAAATTTAAGTGTTTTTCAAACAATCACACGATTCAATTCTGAACAAACCTTGGTCATTCCGACCCCAACCACAAAAACACGCCTTGACAGCATACTCGTGCTTCTGTTTACTGCTGCGGCTGCCATCTTGCAGATGCTTGAAGACCCGGATCGAACTATTTTCAGACGTGACCTCAACCTCATAAATTACTACGCGAAATTAATTTAGACATTTTTTTAAATATTGATAGTTTTTTATCGATAGAGTAACATAAATACCATTCTTTATCGTTAATTATATTGTGAAATGCCTTATATATTTATAAAGATGGACATTTAACCATTAGGCAGAACTACTTGTCATCGCGAATTTTTGTAATGATAAGTAATCAGTCTGTCGTAATTTTGGCGCGGGTCATTGTTATGATTCCTTAAATATTGGATAAATTCGGTATTTTTTCCAACATTGGACGACCCGAAATGGATGTCAATTGAAACTTTGGACATTATTCTTAACATCTGACTGATGATTCCAATGAATAATCTGCATTTTGATCGTATGGTTCATCTCTGAAAGTCAGACAGGTGAGACAAGTTTGATGCCAAACCGAGAGATAATTTTTGACAATTTGTTTACATTATCGTCTAGTGGACAGTGTTGCAGTTAACTCGAAGGGAATCAAAAAGATGATATCAACTTGCATATGCATAACAGATAGTCCATGTCATATGCTAGTTGATAGGTCGACTTTGCCAAAACTTGATGGATGTCATGCATGGCGCATCTTTTACCGGGAGCTACCATTTGTTGATAACCTGTGACGAGTGTTAAATCTAGAGGATGCATGCACCTTTCCGAAGTGTTGACCCCTTTTTTCCTATTTCCATGTTAACACATCATAATATTAATCTTCGTCTTCCGATTACGTTACATTACATCCCCTTTCCTGTTGATTGTGTTGTATTTCCTATATGACCATAACTACTGCGTTAAATTGAGGCATAATTATAATTGGAGATAATGAACGAGCTTGGTTAGCCAGCACAGTAGTGAGTACTCTACTGTACCGTATCGGTTCACAACATTCAGAGATAAATTGTTAACCATACAGTACATTGATAATTGATGGCATAATGATAAATAAAATCACCTGCTATCATTACAGATTGTTTTATTGAACTGTAAATTCCAATTATAATAGAAGATCTGGCTTTGTCATACAAGTGACACTGTTATTACTTTCAACCATTACTTCAGTTGACTTTCATCACCATTGTAGCTCCAGTGCAATATCATTTGTTACTAAATAAAATATAATTGACATAGTTACTGTTGTGTGCTAATGATACTGTTTTCATTTTGTATATACACATACTTATGATATTGAAACAGGTGCACTTTTAGAGTGCTTGTATGTTCAGTTGACCAAGTTATATTAAGGCGTCGTATAGATCTTGAGACCTCAGATAAGTGACCATGTATAGAGAACAATGTTTTAATAAGCACCAGATTGATTTTCATAGAGTACCTGGGTTTATTTACCAGAATGCTGATAAAAAGAACTTTGCATATTGCATACCCTTTACCAACATTTTACGTGTACACGTCTCTAGCAGCAGTTATCACTCCTATTCAGTATCCATTAACAGTTTTGTTCTGATAGAAGGAATTCAGGCAACTAAATAAACAGATACTCAAAATAAAAGCTTCATACAAATAATTACAAGTATAATCTAGTACATGCATATATATTCAAATTTTAAATGATTTAATTTAGAAATACATAGCTGATTTCCTTACAAAATCGCATTGATAGTCTGTTATCCTCCAGTTTAAATCATTTTATTAACATCAGGTTCACTGTGGTTGGTAAAATGTATGCTTTCAACTGAAAACAATTAGAACATTTTATACATTTCATTCTACCATTTTGATTGTCTCAAGGGACATAACTGTGAGATACTTCCTGTTATATATATGAGCATGGTATCTACTCTATTGCTGGTGTTGTCTTTTAATATTTTGTTTCCTTTCCTTTAATTTTATTTCACTTAGTTAGAAGTCATATATTTCAAAAAGGTTTTAAATTGCATCAATTGAGAACAATCTTACTCCACCAGTACTACATGAATGTTCTTTAAAATTGTGCATGAAGTTGACAATATACAGTGGGGGTAGGTACTTATTAAGGTAACCCCAAACAGACATCTTTGATTTAATTTAATGAATATTGCATTTGTTGATATTTCAGATGTAGCTATCAAACCAATGGTAATCATGAATGGTGAAGTTCCAAGTGTTCCCATAACAACACTTGCGGGAATAACAAGTTTGACAGATTGTAAGTAACTGGCTACCCTAAGCCAAATTGTTTTGCTTGTTGCTGTTTGTATATCATGGGACACATGTGTGCAGGTTTAAAACCCATCCTCAGCTGTAAATCACACTTCATATTTTCGGGGTTGAAACAAACAATTTTAGGTACTTCAAATGTTTTTGAAAATGAAAAAGACTGATCAAAATCTTTAGATAAATCAGTAACTCACTAGCAAAATTTCTAATTCTTTTCATTAAGTATATCATGAATCAACATCAACAAATAAACTAAGAACAGATACTAGGAAAGACGATCACTGATGCAATTAGGGCTATTTTGTAATCTTTGTTATCAATATTCTGTTGTTTTGTTTTGTACTACACTATTTACAGTAGTTCATAGCTATACCATTATGAAATAAAATAAAAAGACGAACATGTGAAACATTTCTTTATTTACATAAAACTTAAAACTGTTAACTGCAATTTAAGAGATAATATTAGCCATTTTCTTCTAAGATGATGGTATATAGCTTTGAGTCATATTATTGAAATTATTTATATTAATAATGAATTTATTTATTGTTTTTTGTTTTTACTTTTTAGTGCTACCAGAACTGCCATTGCCAACACCGTTGCCATCAACAGTTCAAAACAAAAGTCTGCTATATCATGCCAGATTAGCTGAAAGTGCTAAGCGGCACTTGTCCAAAAGAGATGAAGGGTTAACTCAGCAGATCGTTCATGCCTTGCGGCAGACATCTACTGATCATATGTAATTTATTATTATTAATTTTAACAAGAGTGTCAACAAATATGTATGATTTCTTTCGCGTGCCCACTGTTGGTAGAATATTTAAAAATACTATTCAAAAGTTCAAATATTTCCTATGAAATAGAGGTAGGGCAATTAGTTGTTTTTTTTAATCTAATAACAAGCCCAATCTATAAGCTATTATACACAATAAAACTTAATTACTTGTCAATGATGAAAGAAGAATTAAAAAGACATCTTTTTTTTCAACTGTTATTTTCAATGTCACTGTTGTATAGGTTGAGTATTTTGTACAAAGATTGTAAGGTTTTATAATTGGTAAAGTTTACTTCAGTATCTTGCAATTTGTTATATGGAGAAAGATAAAGATATCTCTGTAAATGATACAGTACTTACATTTAAGTGCATAACACTGTCATGAAAATCAAGAGAGAGAAAAAAAATGCCTTTCCTGAATTGAGAATGAGAATGCTTTCAGCTTTAAGAGTTCATTTGATAGAAAGATTTATCTTACCATCAGTGTGACGCAGTTAAGGGGGATGTGTACATTTCTAACCTTGTACAATTTTCATTGTCACAGAGAGTTGAAAGACAGTTTGGTGGGTGATAGCATTGAAGGTGATATACCAGAGCTGTTACGGGGAGTGCTGGCCGCTGATCCCAATGTGTTTAAAGGTAAACAGACACACAAATTTATGATGGACATGTGTCTGTGCAACTAAAAATGGTTCCTGATGTGATATTTATGAAACAAGTATCTGTTTTTGTGGTAGCCGAATGGAATTTGGATTTTTTATTTTTACTTTTTCAACATGCACAATTACACATCTTGGAATATTAAGACTGGAAAAATCCAGTGAAAACACCACAATTTTACCTTTGTCATGAATTTCTTTAAATATGTTAGTGAACTTATAGTGTTATAACACTACATATCAATATATGTGACAACTTGAAAATAAGGTAATTTGACAATTTGATATGCTGTTGAGATGGGAAGTATTTAGTGTTTGCTTTGTGCAAAATATTTGTTGACAAAGACTATATATTACAATATATTGATATAGGAACAAGGAGCCAAACCAGTGGTAGGAGTGGGAACCGCAGTCAACAGAAGCAGCAGTCTTCAGCGGCTCCCTATCCAGCACAGAACTTCCAACCCTTCCCTCAGAACAACTCTCCAAGGTAGTTACTTGTCGGGTCAAGGATTGAAATGTCTGTTCTGTCTTGAGACAGTGTTGTAGAGAACCATTGCTGAAATGTTTCCGTTATAACAGTATCTGAAGGGGGGTGGGGAATGTCTACTAATTCCTATATAAACCATTGTGGTTGACATAAATTGACAAAGAATGTTTGGGTTTGGTTACTAACTCCTAAAGAAGTGGAAAAAAATAAATGAAAGATAAGTCAAAGGCACTGTTTAAGACAAGTGTAATTTCTTAATCCATTGCAGTATATTTGATCATCTTATGATGAACACACATTTTGTTTTCTGAAAAGGATGAAAACTTATTTTGGGAGGGGAATGTGGATTGCTAACAATTGTTTTTGCTTTTTGAAGAATTAACCAACAACACAGTCCTTCCAGGGCACCTGAACATGCAGGATCTTATCCACAGAACTCTTCATCCAAGTTCCAACAGTCCTTTCAAAACTTTGCACAGACATCATATTCCAATGCTGCAGGTTAGTTGAGCGGTATTCTGATATCAAATGAAATCAGCAGGTGTAAAGTCTTAAATCAGGATGAGGAGAGCTAGCAAATTTTAAGTGTAAGGGGTTTTGAATTGTATTGTTATGTTGGAAAATAACTTCAAACTGCACACTTTACTATGGTAGTTCTCCAATAGGAAATATTCCAGTTTTCAGTTTTCTGGAGCACTTTGCTAGCCTCTGTTGTTTCTGTTCCCATGTCAAACTGAAGGCAGTAAAATAATGGGAAACATTTTAACAAAATCTTTAGTTATTATTATTTTCCGTCTAAGACCTGACTCTTTTTTTTTTTAAAGACCAGTAAGTGTTAGCAACAAAACTGATGAAATATATATTTGTCAGGTACCATGAATGGGGAACACCCTGGCGCTCCTGAAAGTCATTACATTGGCAGAAATGTCAACCAACACTCCCGGAACACAGCACCAGGTAAATATAGAGATCAGGCATCATGTTTTCATTTCAAACCTGGTGTGACAGATTGGTAGTTTACTAGGGGCCTTCCTAACAGATCAGGATTAAAATAATAAAGTATCTTCTACCAGATGTCTAAAGAGGTTCTTACATTATTTAGAATGATGTTGGGGCACAGCAACCTGTGATGAAATGTTTGCTTGTACATGCTAATTTTTCTGCGCTATGTTTGTGAAATGAAATAAATACAAAAAGAAAGACAATCAGAGACATCCCATTTATATTTCCTCCTATGTGCTACAATTGACCCATAGCAAGGATTATAGTCCATCAGTTATTAGAAGATGTCTATATCAATGAAGTGGAAACATTGCATAAATGTTAGTGTTTCAATGCATGTTTTCAGTGGCCTCTCCTGCCCAAGCCACTGTAGCTGAACCTTTGGTACCAGTTGCAAAACAACCAGAATCATTGGTGCCAAAACCTACTACACTAAACCCCCAGAAATATCCTCAGATGAAACAACCCATTGTCTTGTTGGAGCAACTGTCACACCCATCTCTCCCGGCCCAAGGTAGCAACAAAAAGAAAAGTGCAGGTCAACCATTTGTCATGTTGGAACCCCTGGATGAGAAGGTAGAGTGTGAATGATAAAGAGTCTGATATAAAGACTTAGTATGCTTCTGATATTGTATTTATTTTACACAAAGATTATTTTTTCAGCACATCCTAGCAATATACTCTATACTGTGTTTGTTCATCTGTCATCTTATAGTCTTGTGACACTAATCACTGTAATTAGGTTCTCAGTATTGTTTCAGCATACAAACACTATTTAAAAAAAAAAAAAAAAAAAAAGGCCAAAATAAATTGAGATTACTTGGTTCTCAGGCCCATGCGCATTTTTTTTAAGGGCACCGCATTGCCGATTTTATTGTGAAAGTAATAAAAAAAAATGTAAATGCGCCAGCCGCCGTCTTTAAAAAAAACGGAAAATTGGTATGCATGCCGTTTTTACTCGTTAAGTCACCCAAGTCCTGAAAACGTCTGAAAAAAGATAAGGATTGATATACAGGCAAGCGTTAAAATTATTATGACTTATTAGTCTTGTGTACAAATGGCACTCGTTTCGGTACAAATAAGGAATGGGGGGATCGTGATTTTGTCTGAAACAGAATTTTCGGAGGCTTGCTCTATGACGGGTCTCTACACAACTATTAAAAGACAAGGTAATGCCCACAATGAACGTTTTACAAACTACACAATAAAAAAAAATCACCCTCTCGTTTTTACCATGTAAAAATGGAGGACAAAAATACCGCCCTGTTGCATCTCTTTTGAAAAAAGATGGCCTGAGAACCAACTAATTTATTTTATTGTGCCTAATGCATGTTATTTTTTTAGATAGTTGACTTAAACCCTTCCTCAATCTAGTAAAAACAATGTTGTATCATGTGTTTCTGTAATTGTCAGCAAATCTAATCATGTTTATTGTTTCAGTAATCATCATTCATCAGTACGATATATAAACTGTTCAATATACTAACCAAAACAACTTTAAAAGTTTCAGTATTTGGTTGTGGATATCACAATTGAAACGTTCCTCTTTTTGATGATTTTAAACGGGATTTTTTTGACAGGCTAAAGTGGGTAAAAAGGTATTGTAGATTCTTGGGAAAGCAGTTTTACTCTATGGCTATTACTACGGTAACATTTGCGTATCCTGGTTGAAACAGTACATGTGGGGCAGAAATATTCCACGATAAACGAACGCACTTGGACCGGTCTATAAGCAGAGCTAAAAATGCAGTTTCGGAGAATAAAAAACAATGTATCAAGAATAATATGCCCTTCTTTCATCCGTCCACTGAATTACATAACGTATCTTAAAAACTACATGTGACTTGACATTGTTTTAGAAATAAATAACGCAAACTAGCAATAGTCAACATTTTAGTTTCCTGAGGTCAGCCTCGGTCCAGATCTGTGCCTGTCGTTTTCTTTACAGGTTCAACCTTTTCAACCGGATACGCCAACGTACCCTAATATTCAGTACTGCTATACAGTTTTAAGTTTTTTGGCCATGTATGCAGAGTTAATTTTCTTGCAATCTAATTAAAATTATATCTTCACATCGCTCCCGTTTACTGATATGTTGCGTTGAAGATCTAACAACATCCCGTAGAGGGTCATGTTCAGGCGACCTTTGCATTAACCAATCAGATGAGAGCTTACGCATTTCTGTAAGTGATGATGTAATGATTTCGGAACACACTTGCTATGATAAAAGACTGAGAGGTGTCAAATGAGCACCGAAAATGGCGGCGCCCATGACACTACGCCGTGTCTATCTACAAGACAACGTTTGTACAATTTGTGGATTTTGCTTTGAAATAAGAGAGACTTCCTCTTCTGGTGATGTTGTCGTTTAAAAGTTTAACAACCTGAAACTAAAATTAACCGATGACAGGCTTCGCAATATTCAAACTATCACTGGACCAGGCGAAAAAGTGGATTTTGGGCTACGAGGTGTCTGCATTAAATGCTACAGGTCGTGCTTTCTGATTGGTTTAAAGAAAGAGTTATGTCGCATTTTGATTGGCTTGTTATAAACACGATAATGTATTCATGTTGACCTCTGACTTGACCCTCTATGAGATGTTGTTAGATCTTCAACGCAACATATCAGTAAACGGGAGCGATGTGAAGATATAATTTTAATTAGATTGATTTTCTTGTGCAATATTTTCATGTTTCTTTTTATCATTGTTTATCTTGAGCAGCAGTTAATTTAGGTGTTATGTTGCTCTTTTACACAGCACAGTTTGAATGAGACCAAATGAAATTCTGGCTATGTCATTTGATAGAAATCACCATTGCTTATATATTTTTTTAAACCAAGAGATGTAAAATGGATGCATTAATACAAAATGGGGGGGGGGGCATCACAGTAACAAATTGTTTGGATTTGATTTCAAATAAATTAGAAATAATTTAAATGCAATGATTGTTTGGAATACTAGTAGTGTTCTACCAGATATCTGTTGGATATTAATTTCTTCAAAATTCATTGTTGGGTTTTTAACATCAGACCACAGGGTCACGTTACAATCACACATATGCTATACTGATATGGGTCACAACACACATATCAGTATAGCATATGTGTGATTGTAACGTGACCATGTGATCAGACTTCAACTTGTATGGATTAACGCATCCATTTCAACAAATCAAGAATTTCTTGTTCAGTTTTCTGAATTGCATGCATGCATTTTGGGATTTTATTTTAAGTTTATGTAATCATTGTATAATCAAATCACCTCCGAAATAAATTTCACATGAATGATCAAATAATTATTACAAAATATTGAGATTGTTTCAATAAGATGTATGACCTAATTTCTTCACCTCACAAATGTAATTACTCAATTTTTTGACCACTTATGATAAAATAAGCAGTGAAATAACTAGAGAGACCAGTTGTTTACATTTTCACTTCAATTTCTTCATTTCTATGCTAAGAATAAGTGTCAATATATTGCCTTTTTTCTCTTTGCAGACCCTTAAATCAATCAAATATGGAGGCTCAGGTACTATTTATTTTTTTCTGGATTTTATTTATTGTGGTGCTTTGTGAAATTGAAAAGCAATTTCGTTAAAAAAAAATCTCAGACAAAAAAAATTAAGACTTATGTATTCCTTATTGTTTACATTGATACTTGTATGTGCTCAGAGATATTAATTTCATCATTTACTTTGAGAAAATTTGAAGAAAAAATAGATAACTGCTGCATGTTTCAAGGTAATGCATATGAATTGTTATATAATAACTTACAACCTCAATATCTTATTGTGCTTTAATAGTAATGTGAATATTTTTATTTTGTCTCAGTGAAAGCCAAGTCTGACAGGAGATCAGGTATGAAAATTTGCATGTTTATTTCCAAGACTGACATGCATGAAAATATGTCTCAAGTGAAAAATAATTCCTAGAAGGCTTTTTGTTTTGACAGTTTAAGCTCAGCTTAACACGAAATGTTTTAACTATTTGGGATTTGCAAGTTCAATCTGACATTCTTAAATAACTACAGGAAAAGATATTTATTTTGACTCTCCACAGATCTGATGCAACTATTATCTGTTTAAACTTCATATAAGAAAGTGGAATGATATTATATAACAATAGAGCTAGTATATTGTCAGCAGATGTATGAATGAACAACTTGTTGCAGGGAGCAAAAGACGCTATGAAGAAGACAATGATGGCCACTCCTCAAGAAGAAAGAGAAGGAGAAATTATTATGAAGATAACAATAGTGATGCAGAAGTGATTGGATCTGATTCAGATTCAGAAATGGAAGGTATACACAAGATTTGCATAAAATATTTTACTCTCATACCTTGTTGTGAACATCCTAGAAACCTGATAAATTGTATTAGGATGAAATAGTATTATCCATGTCTACGAAATGTATGGGGAAGGTGGGAGGCACCTATATCAATATATGGGTGTTGGGTTTAAAACTGTATCTGCCTTATTCCCTGCCATTCCTGATATCAAATCACTATGAATATTTGATAAGTGGTGGGGCCTCTGAAAAAGTGCCTCCCATATTAAAGGTTTATTTTAATGGTTGAACCAGTTCGTCCAGAGTTGTTTGTTTGTGAAAAAAGGCCGGACCCAGTAATATGATGCTACTTTCAGGCAAGTCTTGACAAAGCCTTGCAAGGTCCTCCAGGATTTATGTCATTTAAAAACGGACGTACCGATTGTTCCGCAAAACGAACAAGACCCAGGTTTTGAAAAAAATCTTGTAAGCAGAAAATACAAATGTATTCATCATTACAGTTGCAAGGAAGAAGAAAAAAGACAAGCGACATAAACGGGTTAACCAGCAAGCTTTGTCTGTAGAAGAGTTGCTGGAGAGCCCAACTTTCAAGAAGTTTAGCTCAGCCATGGAATATATCCTGGACACTGCAGAAGACATTAATTTTGGATCTCTGGATCCCAGTAAGTTATGTGTGATATACAAATGTGTTCTTGTTGTTTTGTATCGACGAAGTTTTCATGTACCTCCGTACTTTATTCAATTTGAGAAAAACTGATCAGTTGTTAATTCTGATGTTGTCTAGTATATATAAAAGAAGGGATTATTGGCATATTGCTTTTATTCATCCAATGTTTTGTTATTGCAGATGATGAAGACGCAGAGTGTCCACCAGAATCTCTTATATCTAAACAAATTCTTACAGAACTTGTAGGAGAAACAGCCAAACTGAAGTCTATGGGTGTACTAAATCAGGTAGGAAGTCTGATTGATAATATTCGAGTGTGTGAAATGAGGCTGAAAATATTCTCATGCTTTTGTGTATTTTTGTCACTCCTTGGATATTATGGATTTTAAATAAACCTGCTTGTAAATCAGAAAAATGTGGCTGCTACTTTGTTTTTTTGACACTTTGGAAATAGCTCTATCTGAAGGGCTTATGCTGTAGTGAACATTTTCAGAGGTATTGTTATTTTGTTGCAGGTACCAGCAGACAAACTTGTCAAACTATTGACAGTGTTACAATGGAATATCAGAGATGGCACAAAGCTTTTACCAACCATGACACAGGTAGGCCTTTATTGACTTGCTAGGAGGAATGAGTATCCTTGTTTATACTGGTCAAGTGAATAGTTTTCTGAGGAGGGGTAGGGGGTAAGGAATTACTATAATAGTGAAACTTCCTTACTCGCCAAGACAAAACTGCTATTAAAGTTACTTTTCTTCAAATAAAGATTGAAATTTTCATAAAACATCGGGAATATTTGTACCCTGTTTGCAAGAAAACTGTATCCAAATGGTAAATATTTAGTACATTTTGCCTCTTGTTATGTTTGAAGGACATAGATGATGAGGAAGAACAAAAGCTGTGGCGTCATTTAACAATGGAGAGAGTAATGCGTAGCATGGACTCCTCACTCACTGCCTTGTACATAATGACATCCAAGGAAATGCCCAAACATGTGTACCTGGAGGATGTCATAGAGAGGATCATCTTGTTTGGCAAATTCCAGTTACAGAACACCGTGTACCCAGAGTATGACCCAGTGTACAAGGTTGATCCAAAAAAGGGTAGATATATTACAATGTACAGATTGGATCTGGTTCTAAATTATTCTGTTACCTTCCAGTTGTACATCAATATTTAAGATCAAAAGTTGCATATGAAATCACCTCTGGATGAACCTTCATTCAAGATAGCAAAATTGTAGGAGACTTGGTTTTGAACTTGAGTGAAATTATTATAAGATTTAAGAGTATCCATGTTAACATTTGTATATCAAAAGAACTTGCTAACCATTTTAAAATCATTTTGTTATACATGCAATTCCAGATGGCTACCACACAAGTTCTAAGTTAAAGCGAGCCAGGGCAGGACAGGTGAAACACAAATCAACTATCAACCTCTACAACAAAATGGCAGATTTGGTGAACAACCTGGGACAGTTGATAGATATACAAGAAATGACCGACACCACCATATTACAGGTACATAATCATAGAAGTAGTCTAGAAAAGAGGAACATGTATATTACTTGTAATTAAGAATAGAAAATTGTTAGCAGGCTTCTGGAGGCAAGTAATCATTTTGCAGGATATTTTATTGTCCTTGGTTGAAAATAAGTATACTTTATCAGTTTATGTAATAATGCAAATGACTCTAGTTCTAAGAGATAGCTCATTGAAAATTATTAATTTAAGAAGTAATGTATTCATCATTCTCATTTACAGTTAAGTCTCTTTCTTTTTCTTTAGGTTTCAACTTTAGGGGTATCCCCTTTCTTTGTGGAGAATATTAGTGAGTTGCAGTTGAATGCTATGAAGCTGGTAACGACAGTAAGTTCTTTATGACTATTCTGCAATAATTACTGTGACTACATAATTAAGTTTTGAAAATACAGTGATACATTTTCTGTGTAGCTCAGCTTTGAAGCATAGGCAAAAAAACAACCTTTCATGATTTCAAACGGGAGTGTATTTCAACCGACCCAATGCTAGTAGATTTAAGTTGAGGGTACTTTTAATTTTCAAAATGCACTATGAAAATATTGGTCAATGGTCAGACTACTAAAGGGTTCAAATCTGCCTGCAGGTTAGTACAGCAGGTATGAAATTGTTCACCTCTGTTCTAACCTTTCTGAATACTTTGAAATGATTGCTTCCATTTAAGTTTAAACTTTTCATAACTCATCATCTATGTTGGTAATTAATGCTGTTTCTGCTTGGCCTGCTTGCTTCTAGTGAATGCCCATTGTGACGGGTGAACATAAACATAGACATGGGCAAATACAGTTCTATCAGAAAAGGGAAAACATGTTTTACATTGCATAAGCTGGTTACCTTGAATTGACAGACAAATTTAGCGACATTTTTTAACACAAATCTTGTTTATCATTAAATATGTAGAAATGAGACAATCTTATAAACATATTGGACAATGGAGATATAATAAAAGAGAGAGGAATGAGACTAAATTTATTTTTCAATTTAACTATTAAATGATCCCAATACATATTTTAAATATGTTTAATCAAAGTGCTTCATATCCTTCCTTTTTAATTTATCCTCAAAGAGCCTCTTTGTATGGAATGCACTTTCAATCAAGATTCTTAATTTTACAAATGTTCCGCTGCTTTTATTTCAGATTTTCACCCACTATGAAAAACATAGGCAGCTTATACTGGAGGACATATTTGCCAGTCTGGCAAGGTTGCCATCGAGCAAAAGGAATCTCAGGAACTATAGGTAAAATTGGAAAAGTTAATCTCTTTAGGTAGCAGTATACAGTAGAGGGTTGTGGCCATGGGTGATATTTTTGTTAAATGGCTAACCCCTGTATAATAATATGTAAAAAAATATAAAAATAAAACTGTACTAAAATTGGTATAAGCATGATGAAGTGGGCTATGTGAGCTTCACATTTGTAAAAAAGAAAGAAGATTTCTTTGGTTCGAGAATAAAATTTTGGCCATAATACGAAAGGGTGCGTACACATGAAAAGCTAGCTTTACAGGAGGTAAAATTTTGACAACAGCACACGACGCAAAATTGCAAAAAATCAAGTTCTACAATTTTACTGCGACCCAGATAATTCTGCAACCAGGTAGGTAATCTTTAATTTCAGACAGAGCTTAGGAAAAAAATTACTACTTGCGGGGGTCAAATTTTGGGTTAAAAATAGCAATTTTTGGCATTTTTTGGTAATTTTTGATGTGGTAACCATGGTTTTCACACAAGTGACATACATAGAAAAAAGAGGTTTATACACTTCTCAGTACTTTATATGTATTGTAAATGTAATGCAGTTTACAAATATATATACATGTATACATGTGTTGTGTAGGTAAGTCCGCTGTGTTTACATTTCCTCGACATGTGCCCTGTTTATCAGAGTCGGGCCATTTCTAATGTACACTGCTACCTTAACAATCACAAAGTGGATCAGATTAACCTATTCACCCCTGAAGACACATTTAACCTCTTCCAACTCAAAGGTTGGAATAGTTCAATATGAAATTTCTGGGGTGAATGAGTTAAATGCTAACTTTATATAAGTGAAAAACAGCATCACAGGTCACAGACCAAGGTAAAACACTCCAGTTAGTGCACAGAATCACAATTAAATCACAGATCAAGGTCACACACTTGAATCACACCCATTACATATACAGGTCACAAAAATCACATAGTCAGGTCATAGCCTAGAATCACTAGGATAAATACCAATATCACTCAAGTCACAGAATTATGTCACCCATGTCATGACCCACGGTCACATTCAGGTTACAGCCAACATCACACAGTCAGGCCACTGCTGAGTCATGTAAAACCTTACATTTTCTTAGTCCACACTGTAGTGATATAATTGTTTTCCACCAGATTGAACTCGGAGGAATCAATACAGATGGTGACAGCTTTGGCTCTCCAGCTAATACAGTGTGTGATCAAGCTGCCATCACAGTCGCACTCTAGACCAGAACCCCTGGTAGAGGAGGAGCCTGCCCCATCCTCCTCCAAACGAGGACACCAAAATCAAAAGAAGAAAAAACCAGAGGTAAAATTAGTAACAGTGTATTTGTCCTCATGTACAGAGGTTTGATTGAAAATCTAAAATTAGTTTAAGAGGTTATTTATTCAACATGATCTTTTTTTCCCTAAAAAAGTCAATCTTTTCAATATTTAAAGTAGGAAACTTAATGATATACTGAAATGAAATATTTCTTAACATTTACCACTCCTTTCCTTTTCAGAATGAACAAGATACTTTAATTGTTACGTCCTTTGAGAATGCTATGAGAACGGGATACAACTTCCTTTCAGTATTCTTAAAAAAGTAAGTATTACTGTAAACTATGTCAGACATCCATTTGGCCCCAAAGCCCCACTCAGAATCATCCTTGAGTTAGTTACCGGTAATTGGTCCCATTAGGAATTTGTAGCAAAGGAATGACAAAATAGAAGACTTGTACTCTTCAACTTGGAGAAATTTGAATATTAAAAGAAATTAAACTAATTCTGGGATAAAATTAATTTTAATAACCACTTGTCAGTCAGGCTAGTAGTTTACAATTTTATTATTCCATGTGCAAATTCCAGTATTAAACCCTATATTACTAATTATGATAAGCAGCATCAAATTTTACTAGTCTATCATGCTAGCGTTTTTAGTCGCTCCTGGAGGAACCCCAGTGGGGACTATTAATTTTGGTTTTAGTCCCCGATTTTGACTTCTGTTGTCTTGGGCTGTTAAGTGTCTTGCTTCTGTCGGAATATACCAGGCGCTAATTACAAGCTCTTGGATAACTCAGATATCAATTTCCTTTTTAAACAGGAATAGCATAAAACCTAAAGGCATTCCAATTTTCATACGGGAATTACATATAACCTAAAGATGTTCTGAGTATGAATCAGGCACCTTTGAGGTTCCCGAAGGGGTAAACTGTCGTATTATAAATTGCTATTGACTGATTTAGATATTTTATGTCAGACCAACGACTACCGTTAATATTTGCGTATAGTGCACACTTTTTTAAGGGGAAAATGAAGTGTCAAGAAAGAGGTGTACACAATACCCAAGAACAATCCAAAACCAGTCCTTGGTCGCAACCATTTCTTGTAAATTTTTCGAAGATTTCGGAAATGTTTTGAAATATGCTCGCAGCAATAAAACCGCTAAATTTCGTTGATTGCGTTGCCAATTTAACAATTATGAAAAGTTGCAAGTTTAAGTCATATAATACTATAGAATCGGATAAATAGACTTTACGTTGTGAATTGATAAATACCACTTACCGGGAAACATAACGAAGAATTGCATCGCATTTATCACTCTGTGGTTAAAATGTCGTTCTTGGGTAAAATCATGCTGAACTCTTCAATCTTAACTGTAGGAATGTGTCAAAACGACATGGGTAAAGTGGCGAAGTTAGCAAGTTTGTGTACCGCAAAGAGTCAAGGTAGCGTGATAATATTAACCGGCAGGAATTTACAATCGACATCCATGCGAATTGAACCGATAATGATAAAAGTTTGAGTTTGAAAATTAAATATCAACGGGTTCAGAACAGCCAAATACATTCCGATCTTTTCTTTTCGAAGGAGAATTGCTGAAATCACAATTGTTTGGTGTTCTTCATGTCTCGCGAATTCGGCTGTTGGCGGTCCTCGTCAGAGTGACTGCCTTTAAGCGCAGACATTCTGCCGATATCGATGACCGATTCAGTCGGATTTGCCGACGATCAGAAAACTACTTGGAAAAGTGTATTTCATAACAAAAATAGTAGAAGATTTATCCATATATAAGATTGAATCTTTTCTGAAACTTATTGTTGTGAAAACAACATCGTTATATTCCAATTACCTGTTCTGCCCGTGTTAGGTGACGGTGTCAGCGCGCAGATCTCCCCATATTCGAGGTGTCGGTCAACCCTAATGTTATATTTGCGACATGCTTTCTTATTAATTCCATGTGTTGGCATGTATGTATTTACACCTGTCAATTGTTTACCATTTTGATTGACAGGTGGAAATATATATATCCGTAGTAGCTTGGTCAATGATTTATCGGAAAATGATCATACAGAATGATGGGGTGACTTTCATGTCATTCTGACATATTTTTCTAGTCTTCAGCTATGGGGCTACCCATCCTAATGTCGAGCACTGCTAATGGTTTGCGTTCTTCAATCAGAATAACAATGTACACATTACCTGGTTGATTATAAAGGTGTTGTATGACACAGCAAATATGTTCTTCCAATCTTAAAGATTTTGATGTCTGATTATTTTAGGTGTACAGTGAAGGGTGAGGAAGATTATAGACCTTTGTTTGAGAATTTTGTCCAAGATCTCCTCGCCACTGTCAACAAACCAGAATGGCCCTCATCAGAGCTTATGCTCAGTCTCCTCGGCAGAATCCTTGTAAGTGTTACTCAGAACTTCAAACAAAACCTCTTTATCACTGTTTTGATTAGTCACAGGCATTTGTGCAATTCAACAATATCTGTTGATTTTTGGAAAGCAAATAATTCTTTCGAGTATCTGTTGGTAGATACTGCATTATAAATTCAAACATTAACAATAAAAATTCTAAATCTGAGTAGGACTGAATTTATGACTTAATTTTCAATGTTATTATACCAAAGATTTATAAAATAACATACTTACTACAATAATTTTGTTTTAATAACATACTTACTACAATATTTTTGTTTCCTACAGGTAAAGCAGTTCAGCAATAAATCTGTAGATATGTCTCTCAGGGTAGCGTCTTTAGAATATCTGGGCATTGTAGCGTCCCGGTTACGGAAAGATGCAGTGTCTAGTCAACTTAACCAGGAATCCATTGACGAGATTGTTGCAAAGGTATATTCTCTAAGTGTCATCACATACATATGCATATGTGTGATCAAGGCACAAATGAACATAATTGACATAACTTCTTAAACTTGGACTGCTTTCAATTATCCTGTTACAACCGTCCAGGTAGCAAGGAAGTTTGAAAAAACAAAATGACTCGACTAAAAAGCAGGCTGAAAAGACAGAGCTCGGAATACTTTGTTTAATAGTTTTTGTCAAACAGATCACAAAAATCACAAAGATTCAATAAGCTGTTTTTTCTGGTTCACTTTTATAAAATTACCTAGAATACCTAGAATATATATATTAACCAACCTTGTTTTATGTAGAAATACTGCATATTAGTGATAGTCAACCATTTAGTTAGCCAGGACAAACTAGACCCCTACATCTTGCATGCCAAATGTTTGTAGGAAACGTCCATGGCCAAACTTCCCAAAATTGTAAATTATATGCATAGATGAATTTATACAGCCTTTTGGTTGATTTCAGCCTTTTCCAGAATGTTAATGTAATGCAAACTTTATAAAGGATTAAATAGTCAAATTTTCAGCTTTTTATGACTCCTCCTCCTCCTTGGTGGGGGGG